GGAATTGGCTAAGCTGCTGCATAGGGAAGGTTAAATCAGGTCTAGTGGTGGTTAAGTAATGCAACCTCCCAACTAGCCTTCTGTACTGCTCAGGATCTTCAAGTGGATCACCTTGTTTGGCCCTTAGTGTAACCTTTGGATCAAGTGGTGAAACACACGGTTTTGCATCCTGGTATCCAGTATCCTTCAGCAACTCTAGACAATACTTTCGTTGACTCACTGCAATTCCATCACTGCTTCTAGTAATTTCAAGGCCTAGGAAGTACTTCAACTGTCCCAGATCCTTGATCTTGAAATTCTTACTGAGATACCTCTTTACTTCCTCCACATCTTCTCTACTGTCACCTCCCACAATTATGTCATCTACATACACCAACAGCACAACAAAGCGTCCATGAACCCATTTTGTAAACATGGAGTAGTCTGAAGCAGACTGTGAGAAACCATGTTGCAGCAGGGAAGAAGTCAATTTTGCAAACCACTGACGACTTGCCTGCTTGAGTCCATATAAAGACTTTCTCAGTCTACACACAAGTTTTTCAGGACCTTTTGCCCTTGGATCCCCTGGTGGCAACACCATATACACTTCTTCTTCAAGGTCTCCATGCAGAAATGCATTGGAGACATCCATCTGATCCAACACCCATCCTTTGGTTGCAGCCACTGCTAGTAAAGCCTTGACAGTGTTGATTTTAGCCACAGGTGAATAAGTATCTAGGAAATCTATACCATAAACCTGTGTAAAACCCTTTGCCACTAGCCTGGCCTTGAACCTTTCAATACTCCCATCTGGTCTTCTTTTGATTTTGAACACCCATTTGTTACCAATAGCTCTCTTGCCTTTAGGTAAGACAACTACATCCCAGGTATGATTCTCTTCTAAGGCTTGAGTTTCTTCATTCATTGCCCTATTCCAGTGCTCACTAGCTGCTGCTTCTTGATAAGTAGTTGGTTCCACTTCATGAAGTACACTCAAAATGTAACTTCTGTCAGCTGGAGAAAGCTGATCAAGTGTCAAATATTGTTCCATGGGGTACTTACTGACACTTCCAACTTGGTAATCATCAAATCTGGCTGGCATTTTCCCTCTATTAGCTCGAATGGGTCTGCCTTGAAACTCTTCTTGCAGTTCCAACTCAGGTAGATCATTACCATCATCAACAGAATCAATATCATTGGCAGCACTAGGAGAAGTATCAGGGAAAATGGTGTGACCAGGATGAGAAGTAATGGAAGGGTTGGTAGAAGAAGGAGAAGGAGAAGGAGAATGAGAAGGGGAAGAAATTGTGGGAGACATTGAGGGAGAAGTAGAAGTGGAAGGACTGGCCTCCCCTGATCCCTCAATGGGAGAAGTGTTAGGCTGGTAAACTGGTATGCTGTTTGGTGCAAAAGATGGAAAAGTGGGAGGTGGAACTGCTGGAGAAGGAGGTTGATCAGAAGAGGAAGAACGGAAAGGAATGATGGTTTCATGGAAAACAACATTTCTGGAAACAAAAACCCTCTTATTATCCAGGTCCAAGAGAGTATAACCTTTAATCCCAGCAGGAAAACCAAGGAAAACACATTGTGTTGACCTGGCCTGGAATTTTGTTCGTCCATGAACCAAAGTAGATGCATAGCAAAGACAACCAAAGACCTTTAAAACATTGAGATCAGGAGGTTTTTGGAAGAGCAGTTGATAGGGAGAAGAGTTGTTAAGAACAGGTGTGGGAAGCCTGTTAATTAGGTAAACTGAATGGAGGATACAGGCACTCCAAAATTTCAAAGGAATCCCTGATTGAAACCTTAAAGCACGAGCTACATTGAGAATGTGCTGATGCTTACGCTCCACTCTACCATTCTGCTCGGGTGTCTCAACACAGGAAGTTTGGTGTTCAATGCCATGACTTCTGTAGTAATCAAACATGTGAAACTCATTGCCCTGATCACTACGAATGATTTTAACTGACTTTCCAAACTGCTTTTCTACTAACTGACAGAAACCTTGCAACAATTCACGAGTTTCACCCTTTGAATGCATCAAGTAAACCCAAACTGCTCTACTGAAATCATCCACAATAGTTAGGAAGTAACTATAGCCATCATAAGATTTAACTGACAAGGGGCCCCAGATATCAACATGAATGAGTAAAAATGGTTCAGAAGCTGTCATATCATTAACTGGAAATGGAAGTTTGCGTTGTTTGGAAATATGACAGGTCTCACAATGAGAAACAGATTCATTGTGAGTTACACCATGTTGTTTCAGAAGAAGATTAAATCTATCTCTACTGGGGTGTCCTAAGCGCCAGTGCCAAAGATTAATGTCTTGTGGTTGAAGGTTGTAGGTGAAGGCAGCTTGATGAGAAGAAGAGGAAACTGAAGTGAGTGGCAAGAGAGTGGAAAGATCAAGAAGGTAGAGCCCTTTACTTTGTTTTGCCAAACCAATGCTCTTCTGGGTCTGATGGTCCTGGAGTTCACACACAGAAGAATGGAAGTGCAAAGATAAGGGTAAGTCTGAGGTTAACTTGCTAATGGAAATGAGGTTAAAAGTGAAACTAGGAACGAGTAGGACATTTTGCAAAACTAGACCAGAAGGGAGTTGAACTGTTCCTACATGGCTCACTAGGACTCTTTGACCATTAGGCAAGTAAACAAAGGTGTTGAGGACTTCAGAGGAATCAGTGAAATGATCAAAACAGCATGTTATATGATCTGAGGCCCCAGTGTCAAGAATCCAAATATTGCTCAAGGCTGACTTATTCAGTGTACTGTGTGAAGAAAGAATAAACTTACCAGCATGATTGGGAAATGCAGGTAAGAATTGAGACACAGAATAAGCTTTAGGAGTAATCCTTGGTGAGCTACCTGGTGACAAAGGCCCAGAATCCATGCCAAATTGAAGAAGAGTCTTAAGCCGTGTGATTTCATCAGTGGAGAAAGCATTCACACCCTTAGAAGGACTTGAACCATCATCAGAGATACTACCAGTACTTTCAGAAGAAGGGGCTGTACTGTCAGTAGAAATAGAGCCAGAAAAACCTTCTTTCTCTTGCTCCTTCTTCTTCAACTTCCAGCAATCTTTGATGGTGTGATCTGTACGTTTACAATATCGACAAAAGAGCTTCCCTGAACCTGTCTCCTGCCTCCCTCTGTACTGATCCCTTCCAGATTGATTACCAACAGCCAAGGCAACAGACTGACTGTGTTTGGACTTGGTCTGATCCCCTTTTAGCTTTTGTTCATGCAAAAGCAGATCATCAACAGCAGCGGTAACTGTGGGTAAGGGCTTCATCATGAGTAATTGGGTCTTAACAACTTCATACTCCTTGTTAAGCCCCCTCAAGAAACGGATCAGATAGTCAGTTTCTTGCTTAGTTTGAAAAGCAACAACAGCAGGACAGGGATTGGGGTTATTAGGAGCACAAGGACAGGGAACAATGGGTGAAAATTGCAGATAATCCTCCCAAAACCCTTTGATCTCAGTATAGTACTGAGTAATTGTACGATCACCCTGTTTACAAGCATGAATGTCATCTTCTAGATTGATAATACGCAACGCATTAGGTTGCCCAAACCGCCTCTTCAACTCTTCCCAAAGAATGCGAGCATTCTCATGATTCATAACACTGCGAGCAATTTCCTTCTTCAAGGAATTGACAATCCAACAAAGAACAACGGTGTTACAACCATCCCACAGGTGAAAGGTGTCGCTACCAGCTGGGGGAACAGGGATAGACCCATCAATGAAACCCAGCTTGTGCTTGGTTTTCAACGCCAAACGCATAGAGCGACTCCACATAGAATAGTTAGTACCATCCAGAGCCTCAGCAACGAGCGACTGAGACAAATTTTCGTTGGGGTTAAGATAGAAAGGGTTACCGAACTGGATCTCACCTCTGCCTCCCTGAACCTGATTCTCAGTGAAGCTGCCGAACTGAAAACCACCAGCAGCGGTAGAGCCACTGCCACCGCCACTGCCACCAGGAGAAGGCGTGTTAGGAGTTCCGGTAGCCATGGATGCCGAGATTCAGATCTATGGCTCTGATACCATGTAGAAAATGTAGAGAGGGCAGAAGTTTGATCGAAAACCCGCAAAAGCAAACAGCTGCAGGGTTGTTCGCCTTTTATATCACTTTCCGAATTTACTGTTCTGCAACGGTAAATAAAACAGAAATCCAAATTCACCTAAACACGTGGTGAAAGACTATAGGCTAATGTGGAACCAACTCCACTACATAATGAAAACGACGACGCGTCTCGGACGAAGGCTCGAAACGTTTCCCATACAACGAATCGTCTTCAAGTCCGAAACGCGTTCTTCAGCTGTCTTCTCCAATTCAAATCGATCAGCTCATTCCAGCTCTGCATCCTGCTTCGCCTTCATGAACCTCGACTTCGTCTTCCTTATCATCTTGACATAGGGATTGGGTATCACTTCGAGACGGAGATCGAAGAAGCTCTCGAGAAAGTTTATGTTCTTGGAGGGGAATCGTTCATCGACGACGGTGCTGATCTGTATCACGCAGCTCTCTGGTTTCGACTCCTGAGACAGCAAGGCTTTCGTGTTTCTCCCGGTAATGTTCCTTAAACGCTCGTGCAGATCGATCAATCGCATGATCATCGCCTACCTATACTTTCAGTGCAGATGTAAAAAGTCAGAATGAGTATAATTAAGATTTATAATTAACCTTCTCCTAACAACTCACGACTTATTGGGACCAACCACTTTATGATATGACATCAAATCTTTTACGGCCCCCAATATGACAGTTGATTTAATCATGGGTGTATATAGTGAGCATGTACAAACTTCAATAAAAACAACTCGAATTATTGGGACCAACTCATTTCTGACGGTAATCTATTGTGTGTTTGCTTTATGTGCAGATGGGTTTAGAAAGTTCATGGACAATGAAGGAAAGTTCAGACAATCGTTAGCTTCGGATGATCGAGGGTTACTAAGCTTGTACGATGCAGCACATGTGGCATTCCATGGAGAAGACATATTGGATGAAGCCATGAACTTCGCAACCAAGAACCTGGAGTCCAATAACATTGCTGTTCACGACAGCTCTTCTTCAATATTCAACTCCCTCTGCTTTCCTGTGTGGCAATGTGTCCCCACGACACTTGCAAGGCACTCCATCGATGTCTCCTCTGACCACCACGCCTCCCGTGATCAAGCAGTCATAGTGAGGTTCGCAAAGTTGGACTTCAACATATCGCAGAAATTCTATCAGGAGGAGCTCCACCTGCTTTCAGAGTGAGTCATCTTTGCGTGTCCTCCGAATAATTCAAGTTATTGAAATGAACAATTTAGTATATATATGATTGAACAATATCAATCTTTATTAATTAGGTGGCGGGCAAGTCTTGAAGTGTCTATCAAGTTCCCATATGCGAGAGACAGACTTGTGGAGTGCTATTACTGGTGCAACGCAGTTGCCTTGAATCCCAAGCATCGCTTGTCAAGGATCATACTTACCAAGTTCGCATATGCGGTGACCCTCCTGGACGACGTCTACGATAACTTCGGTAACTACGACGAGCTTGAGATCCTAACGGATACGATTGACAGGTACAAAGAATGTGTATATAATTAATGTTGTAATTAATTTAGTTCCATTATTGACATTTGGTCATATTAATTTTCACAAACAAAATATGGTAGTCACGCTTTCCTCTAATTAAATGTTCGGTCCACCGCAGGTTGGATATGAGCTGCCTGGAAACAGTTCCAGACACGATGAGAGACATCTACGTGATCATCATCAACCTGTTCGAAGAAATCGAGCATGAGCTCTCTGAAGCTGGACATGAAAGTACATATGGTCTCGATTACTCTAAGGCAGAGGTACATATATATATCTTTGATGAGCCAAATACGCTTTAACATGTGTCGTATATACAACCAACTCGTCGCAACAACTTGAGTTAGGCGAAAGGGGCAAGATTCTTCTTTTAACTTAATTTCCCTCCCCTTATTTTGTAGTTCAAGAGACTGTGCAGAGCCTTCTTGGTTGAGACCCGTTGGCGCACCGAGGGCGTGGTTCCCACTCCAGAGGAGTACATAATGACTTCGAAAGTAACCACCACCTACCCTTTCCTTTGCACACTCTCATTCTGTGGCATGGGAGACCATTTAGCCACCAGACACGCATTTGAGTGGGTAACCGATGAAACCAACAAGATGGTGACCGCTGCCTCCCTCGTCTGTAGGCTCCAGAACGACGTCGTATCTCGTGAGGTACGTACATTAATTATTAAAAACTGCATCAAAGAACCAGTCGATTCCAATAACCAGTGACGATTTTTGACACGTATGTATGCATGCAGTTCGAGCGCGGGAGGGAGCACGTGGCGTCGGCCGTGGAGTGCCACATGAGGAAGCATGGAGTCTGTGAAGAGGAGGCCATAGTTGTTGTGTGGGGAGAGATTTCGGGAGCTTGGAAAGACATGGCGGAAGGGTTTCAGAGACCAAATCCGTTGCCTGTGGCTTTGATGAATCGGATTCTCAACACTGCGCGGGTGGCGGCGGTGGCGTACGAGAAGGCCGATGCTTTTACTCACTGCCACCTTCTCAAGGCGCACATGGCTGCCCTCTTCGCCGATCCGGTGCCGCTTTGAAGTGTTGGAAATGTGGCGCACTTAAATTGGGTTTTTAGCAACCGTTTCTGGGCTTTCTCGGCGACCGCTATTTGTGGTGTGTTGTTTTCGTCACGAAAAAGCTGGTTTCTGTTCTTCAAGGCTCGAGCATGTGTCATGTGTAGTGTTTGTTCTCTTCTTTGGTGTCATGTTTATCGTCTTTGTGTTCTTCATTTCAATCATCATGTAATTACAAAGGAGTCTTACCAGGTGGTCATATTAATCATAAAAGGCTCCTTGCTAATTGATTTCTATTTCATAATGTTTTATGTGTAAAACTAAGTGGTGCACTCCCGGTAAAAAAAAAAAAAAAAAAAAGTGGTGCACGTACGAGTAGAGGTGGGCAATGGGTTGGTTCATACCGTACACCACACATGATCGAATCGATGTTTGGACCGGATTATATCGAATCGAATATAATATGGTTCGATCGTTGGTCCCATGAATTTTATAAAATACTGAACGAAAATAGACCGAATTGACATTCAGAACGAAGCAAATACACCATTGGTCTGGTCCTAAGATATCTTTCAAAATTGCACCGCGGTTTTCATGTGTTTGATCTGATCCTTCTCGGACCAGATCGATGCCCACCCCTGCGTACGAGCTTCGCCGAGCCATAATTTTCTTTGATATAGTATAGGGTTATTGATCGTGGTACTCCAATCGGTATTTATAATGATTCTACTAAATTTTTTGGATGGAATTAGATACTTTGTCTATTTTTCATAAAATGACTATTATTATTATAGCGAACTTGAAAGTTGTGGTGATGTAAGATGTATTTTGCCAATAAAAAATGTATTGAAATAAAACATGGGTCGGTATTTCGATTTCCTATTTGTTTCCCCAAAACTGAATCGGAATTGAACTTCGGCCTGCGGCTACTAATACAGAGGCGCGAAGAGAGTCGGCGCGAAAGGAGAGCTTCGGCCGCATCCCCGGCAGTCAAATCTTCGGTTTTCCCCACCGTCCGAGTTTCTGTTCCCCGGCGACTGAAGGAGAAGAAGCAGAAGAGCGAAGATGGGAGAGCGTAAAGTTCTGAACAAGTATTATCCGCCCGACTTCGATCCGGCGAAGCTGCCCCGTGCCCGGCGGCCAAAGAACCAGCAAATCAAGGTCCGAATGATGCTTCCCATGAGCATCCGATGCAACACCTGCGGCAATTACATCTACAAGGGGACCAAGTTCAATTCTCGCAAGGAAGATTGCATCGGCGAGGTTCCACCAATTCCCTTTTCCCCCTTTCAATTCTAGGGTTTCTTGGATCTTTCGGAAGGTTTCTTCTTTCCAATGACTGATTGTGATTGCCTTTTTGTGTTTCCCCTGCAGACGTATCTGGGGATACAGATTTTCCGATTCTACTTCAAATGCACCAGATGCTCGGCCGAGTTGGCCATGAAGACCGACCCCCAGAACTCCGATTACGTCATGGAGAGTGGCGCCACGAGGAACTTCGAGCCGTGGCGTGCGGAGGATGAGGAAGTCGACGGGGTTAAGCGGAAGAGAGAGGCTGAGGAGATGGGCGATGCGATGAAGGCACTGGAGAACAGAACTCTGGATTCCAAGCAGGAGATGGATATTCTCGCCACGCTTGATGAGGTGAAGTCTTTGAAATCGAGACAGGCGATGGTCAGCGTGGATGCTATGCTTGAGGCTTTGCAGCGCACTGCGGCGGATAAGGTAATGGTTCTGTGAACTCAAATGGTGCTCTCTGGTTATTGCTGTTGAATTGTGAGGTTTTGTGTTGAGCTACTGTGAATTACTATGCTCAAAGTTTCATTCTTTTCAAAAGTAGATCCTTTTAGTACTGAAAAAGATGCTCTTGAGGAAAGTTTGTACTTCACATGGATTATAAGCACAGATGGTTTTATGGTTTTGTTTGATGCTTGTTGCCAGCGTTGTTATTGTAATCTGCATCCGTGGCAGTATGCTTGGCTAAAGATCCAAGTTTGTGTTGCAAATTTTGTTCGAATCATGCAACTAAGCTTACTAATATGATATATTCTTGTTCTCGATTTGTTTTCAGGAGAAGAGGTTGGAGGAAGAAGATGAAAAACTCATAAGATCGATATTCCAAGTAAGTCTTACCACTGCTCTTCTTGTTGAATGCTTCATTCCTTACCTCCTGTGATTGTTTATTTTACTGAATGTACTTCTATGTCAATTTTAGAAGCCAAGAGAAATTATACGAAGGATTGAAGACGATGATTCTGATGACGAGGATGATTTGGAAATGTTTGGCTTTCCTTCTAAGGTAAGATACTTGCATGTTGCAATTTTGTGAACCTTCTGTGCTAGTTAAGTATGCTTTTGTTCTACTGCCTTTCTTGGTGACGTTCTAATTGTGTGGTTTGGCTTACTTGTTTTTCAGAAGAGACTGGTTGATGTGGAAAATCCAGGGCAGCCTACAGATGCACTGATAAATGCCGGTGCCGCAGATAGCTCCAGTGGAAAAGGTAAAAAAAGAAGAAGATATCCTTCATGTTGCTATGCCTAATATTGAATGATCTAATAGGACGAACAATGATTCATAAGCTTCCTTGTCATTTCAATCTCCCTTTATAGCAGTGGCATATAGGTTGCTTGCTGATTGTTTCGCTGCTTCCATCACTCATCATCAACTCGTTTTGGGAAACTATCTTTTACTCGTTGAATGATGATGATTTGTTACCTTAACCTCAATGCCTGATTTTCCCAAGCACTACCAAAATATTGACACATTATTGCTTTTGATTTGCAGATAACTCAAGTGACCCCGGGAAAAAGAGTGAAGCTAAGCCGAGTGCCAGAGCTCCAATGATGAGAATATTGGTGAAGAAGAAGCCAGACGTCTCTGCTGGGAACAAGCAGGTAGAGAAAACTGCAGAGGCTAAGCCCGTGGAGGAGAGTAAACCCACTGACGGCGGACTCCAATCCCTCCTTCAAAATTACGAGGATAGTGATGATGGAAGCGAATGATCAATGCCACCCTATTCAAAACTGATGATTGATTGAATTTTGTACCGGCCAGCCTCCACCAATGGCGAAGTTTGATCATTGTACCTGTGTGAACTTATCACTTCATAGCTTTGTTCGAACACGAACTCAAAACATTGAGGAAGTCTGCAACATTTGTGGGTATTCTTTTTGGAAGTCTTTACTCCTGTGTTTCTTTTGTAACGAAAAGGTCTACTCATACATTTAGCTGATGAAACATTTTTAACAAAGATATACCATCATTGTCATCATCCATTGTTCTTCTCCATTAACAAAACATGACACATTACCTGAATGGCAAGTAGCCATTCAACAAAAATACCATTCTCCATTATGTTGCACACATATCATACTCACTTTCACTTCTGGGTCTTCCTTTTCCACAGGTCACCAAACATCTTGATCCCTGAAGATCCCTTCCTCTGCTTCCCGCCACTTCCATACCCTTCATCCATATCATCACCAAACCCAGGAGAACCAGCGTAACCGGCACCATACCCGCCAGCCGGGGTCTCGAACATGCTCCCACCACCGAAGGGCTTCTCCATGGAAGCACACCTCTGATCAGATACAAACCTCCCATTTCCACCAGCTAGCACTGCTGCTGCAGCATCTGCTGCTTTCCTCCACTGCTCCGTCTGAACTCTCATCCTCTTCATCTCACATTCCAACATATCCTTCCCTTCCTTCACCGCCTCCAGCTGGCACTCCAACTCCGCTGCATTCCCTCTGCTCGCCTCGACCTCTTCCTCCAATCGACTCAACCTTGATCGCGTTTCCTCTTCCTTCGCCTTGCTACATTCAATCCTTGCAGCCGCTTCATTGAGCTGCTTTCTCAGCTCTTCCTTCTCCTGATTCGAAACCAGCAGCTCCTTCTCCATCTCCTCCTGCTTCGCTCGAAGCTCCTTCATCTCCTCCTCATGCTTCTTGAGAGCCATCTCTACTTCAGGGGAAGGAGGATTTGGTGCGTCCTTCTTGATTTCCACTGCAGGAACTTCAAACACGTCGGTTTCCTCCCGATCATTATCCTCCGGCGCAAGAACTGCTTCTTCTTCTTCTCCTCCTGCTACCTCATCCGGTTGTGGATTGGGCTGGGTTGGTTTCTTACTGGACTTGCTCTCGAGCTCCTTCTGTGCTTCATTCTTGGCAGCTTCCGCGGATGCCAGTTGTTCTTTCAGACTCTTGAGCTCTTGCTGAGCTTGACCTAGTTGTGACTCGAGATCGGCAATTCGCGTGCCAAGCTTCTTCTGCTGCACTGGTGGATCAGAATGTGGCCCGCCGCGAGGGGAGCGACGGTGGTCGGAGACTTTGGGGCTACGGTCTGTGGTGGCGCCCACGGAGTCGGAGGTGGATGATGTTCTTAGCGTGTGCGAGCCTCGTGGCGATTGCCTTTGAGGCATTTCTGACGATCCCCTGATATTCGACACAAACATAGAAGAGAAATCACTATAGCGACATTGATACATAGTATCAAACTCGTCCTAATAAGTCATTGTTATCATTTTCGATTTTCCTCGTCAGATTCTACCATCGGGTTGCAGATGTAACAAGCACGATATCAGCAACACGACGGTACAAATTGAAAGATGAAAAAAGAAATGATCAAGATTTGGTGGGTTTTGGACAGTGTCACATGTATCGAAATTCAGTGTTCAAAATGCGGACAATGAGTTGACACAATCGTCTCAATATCGAATCCAGTGGATAACTGGATACAGGTTACTGACCTTGATTTTGGCATTTGCTCAAAGCTCCAAAGGGACGAAGATTGAAGGGTAAAAGGCCTCCAAACCGTTTAGAAAAAAGACTGCAAAAACTGCTGCAGATTTGTGAACACTAACAGAGATTAGAGAAAGCGAAGGAAAGTAATCAAAATCAATCCTTATTGGGTCATTATACAATCTAATTCAATCAAATCAGATTTAACTTTTTTCCCTCTAAGATTGATTACTTATTTGGATCCAGCTACAGTAGAGGACTCAATAATTCAGAAGACAGTAATAACTGCTACTAACATGGATATTATCTCCAAGGACAGCAACCTACTTAAAACTCTTGTCTACCTAACCATAGACCCACTTTGGCAGTCTGGCAATACCTTCCTTGCATTAATTCCACTTTATAACTGTACTCCATTAATAATAATAACAGTCTGGTATACAATTCCCTTTCATTTACTCCTTTGGATCTTCATGTTCTGTACTCCTTTCTTCTCCCTTTGAAATGACCATTTCGATAGACAGCGCATTCACATTCGCATCCAAGTATCGAATGGAACGAAAACAAGTAGTGGCGCAAGTAGTAAGACCGATGGAATATTGTATAAGATCAGATGGGTATGTTGAAAATGAAGTTCTTGACGTAGTAACATACATAATCAATTGAACCATAACCATGATTTTGTCGAGTATTCACGACACCATCGAGATCATTTCAAATGTAACAAAACCTAAAAGCTTCCTAGTTTATTAAAAGTTTGATAAGGGAGACTTGGGTAGAAAATTTTGAAAATTTAGGAGGACCAAGATAATCTTTGGCTCTCTTGTTTGAAAAAACAAACAAATTTTTAAAATTCAAATTTTGTTTTTTTCCTCTATACCCACTTCCCAAAAACAGAAGACCTCCCTCTGCCTCCAATATGTATCGAAGGTGGTGCTTCTAGTCTTTAACACTATGTTTGGAAAGGGGTGTAAATGGAAGGGGGTGCAAATTTGGGGGGTAAACACAAGTTCCAAGGTGTTTACCCCCGTTTGGTTATTTTGTAACAGTAGAGGGGTGCAAAACGTGAGCGTAAATTCACTATTTCGGCTTACCCCCCAAATTGGGGTGCAAGGGAAGGAAGGAAGGGAGGGGGAAGGGGGAGGAGGGGAATTATGGATTTTTAATTAGATTATAATTACATAATAATTAATATTATTAATTTTTTCTTATATCTATATTAGTGTAGAAGTTGTTTGGGGTTGACCATTTGACTCAGAGAGCAAGTTTGTCAATGTTCGCCTAGTCAAATCGATATCTCTTAGTTGACCCGAATATGCATTGAAAATTAGAGATAAGAAGCGTTTGTTGAAAAGATAGAGAGGAACAGTTTAGTTAACTCGATTTACTTTAATAAATAGTTAAAACTTACAAATTCGAACGTGTTTGACTAAGTTTGACCATATTCAATTTAAAGTTAGGCACGAGAACCCCCTTAGGATGACCAGTTACGAGTTGGATTTCGAGTTTCGAGGTTGCTCGACCAATGATTATTATTATTATTATAAATAATTATATTTGAGCATTATTATATAATAATTATTTTTATTAAAATTATTTTTATTTATTATTTATTATTATATATTGAATTTTCATGTTATTATTTTGTGATAATATTTTATAAATTGATAAATCTATTTTATAATAATATAATTACTTACTTTTTACTCTATTTGCACCCCTCTACTTTTTCATCCAAACAACAATTTACCCCTCCACTTACACCCTCCACCAAGTTGCACCCCCCAACAATTTACCCCTCAACTTGCACCCCTCTCGAACTTGCACCCCCCTTGTTGCCAAACATAGTGTAAAGATGTTGGTCCATGGCATGCCAAAACGTTTCTTGGGCAGTGAAAAAGAAACTTACTTTCAAAGAAAACTCTTTTTTTCTTTTCCACTCTGTAGATATTCTCTCTCTGTGTAACCAAACAGTGGCCTTCTCACTTCTCAGAAAAAGTGGCGGTACTGTCTTATTCCCACCACAGTCGACAAAACCTCTGCCACTCCAAGACTTCCCTCACAAACAAAACGGCAGAAGTGTGACTCACGCGCCGCTGTCAGCCACCGTCTACCCTCCGTCCACCGCGCTCAAGTTTTTTAAAGTTCTCCCCCGTTTGAGGAAAAAATGCAGACAAGGTTCAGAAACAGAGCTTCTGCCTTCTGCCTCACTGCTCTGTTTTAACAACAATACAGTGAAAATGAAAGGAAACCCCTTTCAGATCATTGTTTGATTCCCCGGGAAAGAAGAAGAGACCATTCGATTCCCTTAACAAAAGGACAAAAAGATGGAGTCTTTCATTTTTCCAAGCCGTGTTTACAGAGTCCACCTTTATGCTCTGTTCTACACTACCTCTGATTTCCCACCCCCAATTTTTTTTTTTTTGGTTCTTTCTTTGTTTCCATAATGCTGAGCAACAGAAAGGAGATCCATGCTTTGATTTTCCTACACCACCCACAATCTTGCCTATTTCAAAATCCATGCATTTTGAATCCATCTCATTTTGCTATCCAAATTCACCTCTCGCAATTCTTTCCCTCGACATAACAACACGGATCGTTTGAGCACACAGGAAAGAAGAGACGCAAACATAAAGGAAAGCAAGTTAATGGAAGAACTAACTGACCTGGGTTCGTTGTCCACGGAGCACGAGAGCTGAAGGCAGAGAGAGAGAGAGAGAGAGGGTAAATGGTTATATGGCTTTTTGAGAAGTCCAACTAGTGGAAGGAGAAGAAGGTAATGGGCATGTCGATGAAGGCGAAAGGCTTTAACTTTTTGAAGAGGTGGAACCGTGGAAGATGAATGGAGTCCGCTGGAGTATTAATGAGGAGGGCAGGAAGGATGAAAGAACGAAGAAGAGGATTGAATCGTAGTGGCTGTGGGGGAAGTAGTACTAGAGCTACTACTTGTGTAGAGTAGAAGTACTAAATAGTAAACAGAAATAAAATGGTGGGGTGACTAGGGACAGGGGTGAAAGATTAATTACTGCGAATATTTTGACAGTTTGGACTCATGCTGTCAAAACTTACTGGATTGGTATTTTTCGAACTTTGGAATCCATTTTTTACCTTGAAATGTGAGTTCAATTTTGAATCGATACGATTTATAAGTCAAAACCCATTTTAGGGTCTCATCTTTTGAGTACTTGTAGAGCTGTGATGCACTGGACTTTGGTCTTTGGTTATGCACTTACGCATAATGTATCTAATTCATCCCTGCTACGAAGTCGAGTTGTGGTAGCTATTGGTACGAGAGTTTTCGCGACGACTTTCAGGAAATAAAATCGCAGCTAAGCTGAAACATTGCCTCAAAATTGTATGCCAAACACACATCAATGAACCTGAAACAGAATGATTCCACTACTCTTCTGAAAATGTACCTTACAGACACACAGAAACATCTCAGTTCTTTGCCCTACAGCAATATGAATGGCTGATAATCTAAACCAACAATCATGGGACTGACGACTATTTTGTTGCTATACAAACGGTATGGAACCTTCAATGGTCGATATGGAAGTCGCACCATTCCAATTTCTACACACAGCAACGGACACAAACCACATCCATTCCGTCGTTTTTCCTTGCTCAATGTCGCTATATACCTGTCGTGGTACTTCATAGCATATGTTTGGGCGAGACGTACGTTTGACACTTACAGAAGAGCAAGGAATCTGAATCATTATGGGAAACTATCCAAACAAACATTTTCATTCACTAAACTATTATATGGTTGCCAAGTGATTTGAGCAAAGATCTAGAAGAAACCCATAGCTACCTCTCTCTCTTTCGAGTTGTAGTTGATGAGCCATGACAATACAACCTCAGAAACACCTGCCCCGACCTAGATTCGGAGATCATTGCCACGTGCTTCCTGTCGTTACAGCTCGAGCCTCAGCAAGCGAAACTGCCATGGCCAGCATCATCTGCTCCTCAAAGCTTTCAGGAAGAATAGGTCCTCCCATCTCATTCAGCAGTGGTGGCCGGGAAGTTGAAGGCGGCAATGGCGATAAGGAAGAACTTCCACACTCTTCTGTTGTCGTATCAGAGGAGCTGGTCGAGTAACTCGTGCCCGCTTCGGCAGCAGCATCGGATCCACGATTTCCGATCCATTCTGCATCGTCCCTTGTCACTATGATTTGGCAATCAGGCGACACATTGCTGGAGCTCTCAGGTTGAGCATAAGTATCTGCGTGCTGCTGGCTCAGCGTGCTGTAGAAGCTATTGTTACAGTGTACGTCATCTGTTGACACGACATTCCCAAGGACCATCTGCTGACGTTCGGCAAGGGCTGCAATTGCACAGGCAAGACCGCCAGAAGGAGATGATGATGACGAAGATGATGAAGCAACCGGCGGTTGAGCAGCAGTGATTTGTGGCATAAAGCATTGTGTCCCATACTGCTCGGACGAAACATCATAGGACATATTTCTTGGTCGGCTGTTTCCCTGCAATGTTATGATTCACCAATAGAGAATTCAGTACTTCCTCCCTTGGAAGAAGTGGAAGTACATAAGCAAAGGTAAAAGAAAACAGAAAAAATAATATATATACTATAGAGAAGAAAAGGGAAGATGTTCAAGCATGGACATATAGTACTACCCTACAAGAAACTTAAGTACTGAACAATCAAGATTTCTCAATTCATCAAACTGAAATCAATAGTCAGGGTAACATTAGTAGGAACCACCATTCCAAGCAAAGGCATCACCCACCTCCACGGCCAGGGGATGAATTTGTAGGGCCTATCAGTCCTATAAGCAACAGCTATGGTAACCATAAGGGATTGGCCAAGTGGTAGTAGGGAATAAAAATCCTCTAGTCCAACTTAGGTTCAAACCTCAAAGGAATATTCACCATGCACAAGGAGCAAAGTATAGATTGAATCAACACCCATCACTCACTATCGTATTGACCAAGCTAGATGAGGAAATCTACAGACCCTTCTCTCTTTGCCCCTTCCCTACCCTCCTTTCCCTGCCTTCTCCCAACATCTCCCCAAAGATATACACACACACTTGATGCTGATGGTAGGTTACTACTTGAGCAAATAAGATGTCAGCAGCAGGCTTCACTGTTGCCAGACCATCACAAAGGATGTCAAAGGGATTAGGACTTTTCACTTCGACAATGTTGACCTCTTGTATGTCCACTACAAGATAACAGACCAGCCAACTTTTGTACGGCAATCATCAATCCATTACGACATTCTGGTCGCTGACAACTAAAGACTTCTAATGAGGCTCTATCTATAATTATTCTATTTCATACTGCAGCGCATGACAAAGACAAGCAGGAAAGGTGCTGGCTGGTGAAGCCATCACATTCCACAGCAGAGGACAGACTGGCAGTTGGCTGAGCCAAGGCAAATAGCAACAGAAACCTAAATGCTTTTGCAGGGTAAACGACAGTATTTCACATTTCCAGATTAACTTTTCTAGTCTTTCTTCTGCACGCACTGTAAGCAAACAAGGAAGGTAAATCTACCTGAATAGAAAGCCAGATTGCCTCCATGACCATAATATCCTCGAGATCAAGGTCAAAGTCTTCATCCCTTCAATTAGAGAACATTCCAAATTTGAATCAGCACCAAATATCAATTAGATTAGCCGCTACTATCATCTAAAACGTATACAAACATATATTCAAATGCCAGTACATGAACGACAGGTATAATTAGGAGTCTTGAATAGCTACAACAAAGCACTCAGTAATTAATGTCTCAAACAGTAAATAGAAAGTAGAAATACTACCAATCAAAACGATGTTGCTAACAAAACCAACCCTTTCCAGAAGAACTGTTCAATACCTTAATTTCCCATCATCTATAATCACTAGCATATGAGTGGCAACACATGAACATGTCTAACATCCTATAGGTGATGTATCTGGTGCACAATGAGGTGCACAACTCTCAAACAAGCACCATGCATCAAAGGTCGTAACACAACAAATAGTAAGAGTAGACCAGCAGTCTAGTTCCCATCCCAGAAGTATATGAAGAACCTGATCATGTCTGAGCATTTCATATAAGTAAACCGGCTGTCTAGTTCAAACAGCCCTAACAATGATTATGAAACGTGTGTGGACAACATGACCAAGCTATTGAATATATTGGATGATTGGCTGCCATACTACTAATGACATGCTTCAAAACCTACCTAAGGAAATAAATTCAATGTTTACTCAGTCAAAGAGCATGGGTAGAACTCAGTTCAGGAAGAAATGATTGGAATCAGCCACCAACTCATTCATCCAATAAACTGATGCCGCATACAGCAAACTACTAAAGTTATCAACTTTGGTAATGCCTACTAGCTTGATGAAGGCAATTCCCATCATGATTCACGACCCTATGCCCCCACCTAGGTAATGAACAAAGCCATGAACAGAAGGAGATGCACAACATACCTGTTTGGTCTAGACAATGCAGGATCTCTGATAGATGGTTGAGAAGAAACAATTTCATTGCTTTCTGCTGATGCATCGGATGGAACTTAAAAGGAGGAAACTCAAGGCATTCAGTACACCCAGAAAGAAAAGTGAATCCAGGTAAAGACAGCAAAACAGAGTGATGATACCTGCTACAGAGCCACAATCAACCTCCTCAGGTGCAATGTTAGAACTGGAAGAACTTGATTCCAGCCTTCTATGCATTCTGTCCTCTTCATCCTGAAGCTCTTGTTGTCGCATCCTAATCTTTGCTTCTATTACTCTTTGTTCTTCCTAAAAGAATTGCATACCTTAGCCACATGATAGTGAAGAAATGCAATTTCCGAATGAAGGTAAGTTTGGTAAAGCCTTACAATTTGCTCCAAACCCTTTTCCTCTTTTGTTTTTACACCACGGTATTCCACAGCATAATTTGACGTTTTACAGAACGGACATCTGCTAAAGTTAAGTACAGCAGGCATAGAACATACGACTGAAAGGTATGAGAAGGATGTAGAAGGAACAGAAAGAAAAAATACTAGAACCTTGCAGAAAAGGATACTGAGTAGGACGAGTTGAATTAGGATTTTTCATCTGCAGAAAACATTCTGTTGCCAAAAAAGAGAAGGAAAAAAAAAATCAGAACTACCATATTTGATCACTTGAAACGTTTATCCACTTATGTTAATGATCATTACCTGTACAGATCCCTTTCGTGCAACATCGTGATCGGTTGAGGCTTGGGTAATACTGAAACAAAGCCAAAAACAAAAATCACATCAATGTCAAGCTCTTCATAGTATAAATAAATATTAAATAAGACCTCCCAATTCTAGAACACATTTCTGCATTTCTCCTTAACAACCAATGAATCAGAAGAAACTTATAAAAAGAGATACAAACCAGGAAGCAAATAGGGCACTCTTCATGATCATTGCACGACTCCTCGTCACCAGGATAGCAAGGTGCGAGCTTGGACTCAAGAATGAGTTTCCTGAGCTTCTTATGGTCTACGTCTTTGTGGACATATAAACCTTGTGGCTTTGTATACCTCTCATCTACCACTTGCCTCCTCCTTCCCAACTTATTACCCATTCAACAACACTTGTGCCTATTTGTGCTCCCCCTTTCCTTCCGCGAGCACAACAGCAATGAGAGCAAGATGAATGGAAGAATTGAAGTGCAAAATTCGAATAGAAGGAATTCCACCAACGTACTATCTCTAAATCCCTAAACCATGGCGACAGCCTATCGACCCAATATTACTATAACCACCACAGTACATGCTTCGTTCCAGACTCTTAAAGCAGGAATCCATAGTTTCTTACCAACAATCCTGCAAGCAAACAATCCAGCAGCAAGAATAAATTTAGAAACAATCCATTCCACATAAGAGAAAGCCCCAACAACCATGCGGCACAAAAATACCAACTCGTTCACAGTTGGGGACAAAATTGTTTCTAATTCCGGCAGCATATGGAGATCACTACAATCCACAGATTTCACAATTCCTAAAAGCAGCAAGAAAAATTCCACCACACTCGAGAACTGTAACTGGGAAACAGAAACGGGAAACTGATTGCAGCAGGGACGAATAACTGAAAGCAGAGCGGAAAATGGCTCCCGCTACTCCCCGATCATAATACAAAAGAAACGCAGCAGGCAATACGCAACACCGATGAAGAGCTTTGAACCATGAGAGCGCGTCAAAGGGACCAAAGAAAAGATAGAACTGCAGCAAGCAAGAGCGCGAGAGAGCGAGAGGAAAGAACCTGGAATCGTGGAAATCAACAGGGATAGAGACAGCGAGCAAAGAGGAGAAGAAAGAAGAAGGAAGAGAGTCTTGACGTTGAGCTTCCGTCTCCTCACTGGTATGAAATGGAGATCGAGACAAGGAAGAAGAACTTTGTGGTTTTCGCGGCGGTGAGAGAGAAAGGACAAAAGTCGAGACGGAGATTGAGTGCGACGAGAAAGAAAGAAAAGGATGGAGAGTTCATCCACTCTTTTTTCCTTTTTAATTAAATTTACTCGGTCCCTTTTATTTTATTAAATATTGCCGCTTGTTTTATTTTTGCGTCACCCACTCACCCGGGAAATTGGATTTTAATTTAACTAATTTAATAATTTGCGCACCACCGTGTGTCTAGGAATTTTTTAAAAAAAATTATAAAATTATGACATTAAACACAAAGTGCAATAAATTCATGATTTTGCGTCATAAATGATTATGATCGCGGTAATAATTTCGCAGTAAATGAAGAATTCATTTTGACGTGGAGAAGCACGAAACGGTGGAGTACTCCGACGGGAAAGAATCATTTTAACTTCTCTCTCTACCGGAAAGGCATCCAATCAAGTGGGCCTACCTCTCCTCAATTCACGGAACGTTTGGGCTCCCCCTCAATTCTCGACCCAAGCCCACATCTGAGAGAGTTTCTTGGGCTTAATTCATCTAGCAAATTTCTTGGGCTTTGTTCTTGACCCAAGTCCACATCTGACAAGTACCATCACCCCGCCGAAGGGGGAGCTCTGTCCTTCCCGCCGGTCATTTCTTCCTCTCCTCCGAGCCAACAGGCATATCTTCAAAGAGATCGCCGGCAAATATCATTCCGCCGAACTTTCTTTCTATCGCCAGGAACTCAATTTATCTCCACACTCACATGCTCATTCGGCGCAGCAGCAGCTTCGCGCCGAATTGGTTCATTAGCTTGCGCGGTTCCATCTCTGGAAAGTCACCTACTTTTTCGACTTCGGCGAGCCCGAACTTCGACAAGAGATCATGCATTCGTCTACTCAAGAATTGCAAATCGATGGCCCATCTAAAACAAGTACACTGCCAGATGTTCCGGAGCCGGCTGCACCAAGATGCCGATGCTCTCGGCAAGCTCATGGTCTTTTGCACGGACCCGTGTTATGGGAACAGCAATCTCAACTACGCACAGAGAGTCTTCGATTTCATTGAAAAGCCCTGTTTATTCATACATAATTTAATGATCAAAGTGTATGCGAAGAAGGGCAGTTTCAGGAAATGTCTGTTGTTGTTTAGCCGACTCAGGGGAGATGGCTTGTGGCCTGATAATTTCACCTACCCGTTCGTGTTGAAAGCAATCGGATGTTTGGGGAAGACTCTGGAGGGTAGAAGGGTTCATGGATTCGTTACGGTGACGGGGATGAGATCCGATACTTACGTGGTGAACTCGTTAATGGATATGTATGTGCATTTGGGGCAAATGGATGTGGCGCGGAAGGTGTTTGATGAAATGCGCGAGAGAGATGTGGTTTCTTGGAATGTACTCATATCTGGGTATGTGAAGTTTAGGAGATTCGAGGATGCTATCAAAGTTTACTGCTCTATGAGAAATGAGAGTGATCTGAGACCTGATGAGGCTACAATTGTAAGCACTCTCTCGGCTTGTGCAGCATTGAAGAATTTGCAACTCGGGGAAGAAATCCATCATTTCGTCACGAGTGAAATCGAATGCACTTCGATCATTGCTAATGTGTTACTCGACATGTATTGCAAGTGTGGTTGTTTGCTAGTAGCTCGAGAAATCTTTGACAAGATGCCCTCTAGAAATGTCATTTGTTGGACGACTATGGTGACTGGTTACATCAACTGTGGGCAGTTAGATGAGGCTAGAAATCTGTTTGAGAGGAGTCCTACAAGAGACATTGTTCTTTGGACATCTATGATCAACGGATATGTGCAGTTCAACCATTTTGACAGAGCAGTTGCACTCTTCAGAGAGATGCAAGCCAGAAGAATGAAGCCTGATAAGTTCATATTGGTTGCTCTCCTTACGGGGTGTGCACAAACGGGTGCCCTCGAGCAAGGTAAATGGATACACGAGTACATAGACGAAAACCGAATAGCAGTCGATACAATTCTTGGTACTGCTCTAATAGACATGTACGGGAAATGTGGAAGCATCAATAGAGCACTGAGCATCTTCCATTGTTTAAAAGAGAAAGACACAGCCTCTTGGACTTCAATCATATGTGGGCTCGCAATGAATGGGAAGACATACGAGGCGCTCCATTTGTTTTCGAGAATGAAACAAGTTGGAGTCAGACCAGACGATGTTACTTTCATTGGTGTTTTGAGTGCTTGTAGCCATGGAGGATTGGTTGAGGAAGGTCGTGAATTCTTTCATTCCATGACAGCATCATATCAATTTCAACCGAAGATTGAGCACTATGGGTGCTTTATCGACTTGCTTGGTCGAGCTGGATGTTTGGAAGAAGCAGAGGAGCTCATACGAGAGGTTCCGTGTTCCAATCTTGAGGCAGTTGTTCCTCTTTATGGTTCTTTGCTCAGTGCTTGCAGGATTTATAGAAATGTTGACATAGGCGAGAGGGTTGGTAAGCATCTCGTGACGATGGCATCAGGTGATGCGAGTGTGCTTACGCTTCTTGCAAATATCTATGCCTTGACGAGCAAGTGGGAAGAGGTGAAGAAGGTGAGAAGTGAAATGAAAGATCTTGGTGTCAGAAAGACCCCTGGTTGTAGCTCGGTTGAGGTTGATGGCGTCGTCCATGAGTTTACTGTCGGTGATTCTTCTCATCCTAGAGGGAAAGAGATATACTCTATCTTGAATGAATTGACTAGACCATTGTTGGGTTCGGAAGACAATCTGCTGATGAAAAGCGAAGAGTTACTTGCAGTCAACTCTTGATTCCAATACACTCATCACTGATGAGAGTTACTTTGCAATTTTTAACCTCTAAATGTTATTATATCAATCACAATTGTTTGACAATCAGGACCCTAAAGAATACATTCTGGATCTTCGGAATAGAGTACTTGTTCAACTCACAATCGATCACTTCCTCGACCTCCCAACAGGAGAGAGGACAATGTGTAATACTTCTACCTTAACAACTGCAGAGAGGCCAGTAAAACGTAATTCTGCAGTGCGTTCTAGTTTGAGATCGGTAAGAAACTCAATTCAAAGCTACAAGTAAGCCCTTTCAAAATGCAAGGGAGGAAAGGAAAAGAAAACTATATAGGATCTAGTGTTCAATAGCACATGACATGAACCCTAAGCGTGGAGCTCTACAATGGTTTCTTCTTAACTTGATATGGATACTTCTGGTATACCGAAATGCTGGTCAACACTAGTGGCAGTGCAACCACACAGTACGCCGAAGGAGATTTGCCCTCGAAGACCAACTGAAGCAAGGCCGTCACTAGAAGTGCAGAAACAATGACAAAACCCTGCAAAACAATACCATAGAAGAAAAACAGCATCAGAGGGAAGAACTCAAATAGGTTCTAGTTCGAAGAATTGGGGTTTCCGGTTTCCCATATCAATTGGAAGCACAAAATCCCAATCCTTCATCATTTACAAGGAAAGCAGAATATTTTCCAGTTGATAAATAAACGATTCCCCACAATCGTACAGTCTCATCAGTCATATGTTTACCTTTCTAACGCCTCCCGCTTGGCTTGTGACAAGACCTACGAGAATTCCACCTAGGGCATTGGCTAGAACAGGGATCTACAAAGGAATAGTAATCACCAGAATTCATATAGCAGAAGAATCGCACAGTTGAAAATTTTCCAAGAAGCGAGACAACTCATCCTAAAACACTTCTACGTGGTGAAATTATAATTGAACTTCTGTAAACCCACCAGACAATGCTCTACCAAACTTCTGGTTTTTCACAACAAAATACAAAAAGTTACAATATCGACTTGAGCTAGAAAAATTACCAAGGTTAATGGAGTCCATCCATGAAAAAACCCGTACTTTCTGATTGCTTCACCATCCGGAGACTTTGTCATGCTGACCAATAAGCACAGGCTCCCAACAACAGACATCTCAATTGTCATGAGGTATGACGAGTGTTTCTTGACCTGTGAACAAGGAAATGGTAATGTACGCAAGTCCCGTAAATCAAAATGTTGATGCAAACAGTTTGTAACAAACCTGAGAAGCCCATTGACACAAGGATGAAGCTAAACCAGAAAGAACTGATGCAACCAGTACAGGCACAATCCCATAGAACAAAATCTGATCAGGGTTACTGCTAGTAGTTCCTTTGCTAGACCCTTCACCGACACTGAGAAGAACAGCAGCCATAATCAACAGGAACAATGCCCCAATTTGTTGGATTGACTGCTTCTGCCTGTGGATTAAGCCGCAAAATCAAGTTAATAGGACTTGACTAGATAAAGAGATTCCAGATTGTCGTAAGATTCATATCTAGCTATACTGAGACGATATTATGAACATCATATGCAGCGGTGCATATTATTGTCCGAAAAAAGCATCAAACAATTGCATGAGAGCTATGTCAAAGATACCTCAAGATTATATAGGTGAACAAGGCAGTAAAGAATATCTTGGTCTGGTTCAGAATTGAAAATGTGAGCGAATCCAGATTCTTGTAAGATATCTGGAGCAAGCTGTTTTGCAGAGCATAAATTGCTGCAGGAAGTCCTGATGCCGTCAGTGATCGAACCAGACTCCATTCCTTGGTTAATTTCTTCATAGAACCGTCTTTCACCATGAGAATTGCAGCACATGCAACCTAAGGTAATAATCAGATGGAAGATTATGCAACCCGGGGTCAATAATTATCTATGTACAGAATGTATAATCATTGTAAAGGACAACCAAAAGGCACAATAGTTACCTTAACGATCTCACATGTCAAGACCAATGTAGTCACAATAACTTCTCGTCTGCACAAAGCACGAATCATTACAAAGAAATCGACTAAACTATATATCAATCAAAAATTGCACTGGAAGCATACTAGATATGTGCAGAAAGAACAATCCCTTCATTGAATTCATATCCCATTTCAACAATCTATAGACATGCTAGCAGTTTCACAACGAATTAGCCCGGTATCATCAAGTTTATAATTTATATTTTGTGCCAGCAGCTCCCACTACGCGTAGTTCCATTCAGCAACTACATCTAAAGCTAATTCATAGCATGAAATGCTCCTGAAAATCTCATCACCATAGTTACACTAGATCAACCAAGCTCTGCCTCGATCACTAAATTCGTTTCTGATTAGCGCATCAAGTACATCTATACTCTTTAGGAATTCTCTACATTTGGAATCCCTAGAGCTGCTCTTTGACAGATTCTTGCTAATCGATATAATTGATCCAAGATGCCCTCCAATCGCAAGATTCTAACAGCGATACGGAATCATCTCTCCCAATTCGCGTCGAGATCAGTTCTGAAAGTGCCGGAAGCAATGGAAGGAGGGAAAGGAAAGAGTTGGAGCTGGCGCGCGTACCTGACGAAGCGCTTGGAGATTAGAGGTTGAGCTCCATATTGAAGAGCCAGCAACAGAGAGTAGAGCAAAACTCTAGAAGACATGCTATTCCCCGAATTAGCAGCCGGGCTCGAACCTCGCAGCCTCGTCGCCGCCATTTCCCCCCGGCAGCCGCTTGAGAGAAAAACCGTCGTCCTTTTCCCACGCTATTCCCCGGTGTTCTTGGAGCTCGTCTTCAACTTAGAGGAATAATTGCAGCAAAGTATAAGGCTGAAAAATGGACAACTGTCCGCTCCAAAATAAGCCCAGAAGGCCAGAAAATCACTCCCACTCAGCCCATATATGGGCCATTCTATTCGGCCCGGATCATTGGCCCTTACTGTTTCGAGGCCCAACTCGTATTCATTCCCCCAAACCCATAATTTTCAAACACAAGCAAGAAATCCAAATCGAATCTGCCAAAGTAGTTAACGTAATCACACCATCTCCGATAATTAACACAAATACAGAGAATAATCTTTCAAAATTTGCATAAAAATCAAAACAGAAAAACCCTTTCATATTTCCTCCAATTTTCCCCCGCTCCACCGTTACCCTATATATATATATATAGCGACGGGGAAACCCAAAAGATCATTTGATTCAGTAAGGGGGAAAAAAATGGGTGGGAAAATGTTGAGATTAAGATTAGCCATCATTGCTCCTCTCTTCCTTCTTGTCGCCTTTGTTGGTGCCGCCATTGCCGATTTCAACTACGACGCCTATTCATATCCTAAGGTGTTCGATGTCCGTCGCTACGGAGCAAAGCCCGACGGCAAGTCAGACTCCAGCGAGGTACGTATTAGGATGTTTCTGGTATGCTTTCGTACAAAACGATTTAATCTATGTTCTCGTAGTTATGGGAATTTTTTGTTTATTGGTATAGGCATTTTTGGCTGCGTGGAACGACGCTTGTCAGTACGAAGGGAAGGCGAGGGTGGTGGTGCCGCCAGGGGAGTACGTGACGGACACGATCCTGTTTTTGGGCCCTTGCAAAGGGTCGATGGGGTTCATAATGAAAGGGCGGCTGACGCCGCCGGACAGGCTGAGCCACTCCGATGAGTGGATCACGTTTAGGTATGTCAACGGGTTGTTGGTCTCCGGCCATGGCACGTTCGACGGCAAGGGTTACGTTGCTCCCACTCCCAAACCTCCGGCCATTGTAAGTGTAAATGGTGTAGCGCTTGCTTGCTCTTCTTTCTTTGTGTTTTCGTTTATGGAAATTGTGATTGGTCAATTTAATTGACGGATTTTGAGTTAAGCTATATAAGCAAGTTGAATTATCATCGGTCAATTGATTAGAACTAATTGGATATTTACTACCAAAAATGTATTCCAATTACCTTACTAATAACCTTGAATATTAAAAGTGTGATTTGTCTAGAACGAGTAACAAGATATTTCTATTTTTCTACCCCGTTTTGGCAAAATGATAGTAAAATCCCATTAACCCTAGTAGATAATGCGAAATGGAAGGTCAATATTTTATTGCGATTTTAGCCTAATAAGTAATAACTATTTTGTTGCACATTTTTACTATACATGGTCATTGGTATGCTTTGTTTATGTCGATACTTATTATATGTCACGAATAAGTCCGATCCAAATATTGAAATTACGAGGAACAATCTAAAATTGGGTTAGATTCGCACTTGGTCCAAAATAAGAAGATTCATAACTTTTCGTGACTAAATATTCATTTAATGATTTTGTTGTAACTTACTTTTCAATACATGCATTCATCATGTACAAATTGGTGTTGCCACTTAATGAATTCACCGTCTTCTCATCAATCCATGTAGTTTAGTAATTGAACATGTAAAGAGTAATCCAACGACGTCAGTATGCACTCGGTAGACTGGCTCTGGCTCTTTAGTAATCACTTAAGTATGCATTTAACCAATCCTATTATTCCCCCTTATTAATTATCCTGGTCATTGAATCACAATATAACGTTTGGTGGCACATTTCAGTCGCTGCGGTTCGAGTTCATAAACGACGCCGTGATCAGCCACATCCGCTCCCTCAACAGCCGCAACGCCCACTTCCAGCTCTTCGGCAGCAATAAAATCCGCATGCACAACCTCCTCATCCGCGCCCCGGGCAACAGCCCCAACACCGACGGCATCAAGATCGGCGCCTCCACCGACGTCCACGTCACCAACTCCGTCATCGGCACCGGCGACGACTGCATCTCCATCCTGGGGAAAAGCTCCGACATCTACGTGTCCCAGGTCCTCTGCGGGCCCGGACACGGCATCAGCGTCGGGAGCATGGGGTTCTACGACAACAACGCGGAAAACGACGTCGTCACGGACGTCACGGTCACGGACTGCACCTTCCGCGGGACTTCTGACGGCGTCAGGATCAAGACCTGGGCCACGGCTAACGCCGGCCTGGTCCGTAACTTGACGTTTAGTAACATCCATCTCGATAGCGTGGATAATCCCATTGTGATTGATCAGGAATATTGCCCTTACCCTCCTTGCAAGCAGGTAATTAAAATTTTGCTACGTGTCGTAACGAATTTTTTCGTAGCAAGAAAGCACCACTATCTCGTAACATTATTCGCATTATTATTATTGTTATGTTATGTTATGTTAGGTGCCGTCGCGTATTCGAATCGAGGATGTGACGTACGACAACGTTTGGGGGACGTCGAGGACGGCGGTGGCGGTGAAGCTGAACTGCAGCAAGATGTACGGGTGCAAGGGTTTGGTGTTGAGGGACATAAACATGGTTCAGAAGAATGGGCTCGATGCGGTGTCGTTTTGCTCTCACGCCGTCGGCGCGACTCACGGTGTGCAGAAACCGTCGCCTTGCTTGTAGCGGGCAGGGGTCAGGCTTCTGTTTTAGATTCTGAATGTTTTTGTTTGTGAGTGATCATTAGTTGATCCCAATTAAGAATTTGATTAAGCAGCCATTAGAGGGTTAATTATATTCTACTTCGAATAAAGACGGTGAGGTTGAGAGGTGGTCGACAAATGTAATGCAGCCACCCTTTGAAGCCGATTATTCATTAATTAAGGTCTTGTGGGAGTTAGATTTCGATTTAGTCTGGTCAAAGTTATGGGTGGGCTTTTTGTATCAAAATTGGCCCGGTTGCTGCACTATATTTACTTGGGCCGAATTCGGTCTTTACTATGGATCAGTTACTGAGTTTAGTTGATTTTCATAACCGACACGGTGGCATCAATAAAAAAAACGAAAAGAAAAATGTAACACGAAACGTTTCCACCTGCAATTCCAAAGCTTTCTCACTGAGATCCCCGCCATGGATGAGATCCTTCTGTTCGGCGCCATAATTGCCATAATTCTCCTCGCCTTCATCTCCGTTTGCTTCATCACCATCGAAGGCACTCGCCGCCGTCGTAGCAGCTCCACCTAACTCCGGCGCACTCACTCACTCCAATCAGTCAACGCCGTTTCTTAGCAATTTCCCCCAATTTCGTTATTCAGATCAGATCCCTCCATTTGTCATTTCTTTTTTTTTTGGAATTGAATCGAATTCACCTGAAAATTACGAGGAAACCCTACCGGGGGGTTTTCTTATCTATTTATATAGAGAGTAGGTAGTACCCAAAAAAAGCCATCAGCCGCCCTCTGGTTTCTCTTCCCCGACTTTGCGCAATTCGAACAGTTCGATTGAACAAAAACAATGGGGCGGAGCTCGCCGCAGCTTGTATTAATGTTGGCGGCGATTGTCGCTGCTGGGTTTTTTGCAGATCTGTGTACCGGTGACGGACTCTGTACCTCGCCGGTGCTTGGTTATTCCGACGACCATCACCACCACGGTCATCACCATCACCACGACGACGGCGGCCAATGTGGCGGCCACCATCATCATAATCATCATCATGACCATGACCATGGCGAAGAAATGGAGTACAAGTTGCCGGAGGAGCTGGCGGAGGAGGAGGATATGAAACTCTATGGCTTCGGGAATTACCATGCTCATGATGAACACGATCACCATCTGCATTCCGATTCGCACTCCAAGCTTTCTGGTCTAGGTATTACTCTATCCAATCTCCGAATCTGTGTGAGTGCTAGCAATCACTCAGTCACTGCCGCCATTTCTTTTTCTTGTTATCTGATTGGGATTTATAGGCATTGTATAGTTGTTATCTGAAGAAGTTGTCTTTCTGATCTCCAATGTGAATTTCTCGGTTCCAATTTGATTGTCATTCTCCCATTCATCACGATCACCTTTCAATTATCTGCGCAGTCTACAGAGTCAAGTACTCGAGTTCTTTAGCAGCCCAAGTATGCACAAATTCTCGCCTTTCGAATCTTGGGACTGGCCTTTCATCTGTTATAAGTCTGTTTCTTGTCTCTCCTGTTTTCTTATCAGGTCTTTGGATCAATGCCTTGGGCTGTTCGCTTTTGGTGAGCTTGGCTTCCCTTATTTGCCTGATCATCTTGCCAATCATATTTGGTAAGCGGCTCTTTGCTCGTTGTAAATTTTTAGGGTGTTGTCAATGATTGCTTGCAGTTTGTTCACTGCATACCAATGGAGAAGTTTCTACGAATTCCGCCAAGGAAGTTGTAATAAAATGGTGATTTATCTGTTTCTGATTGCAGTACAGGGAAAGCCATCCAAGGGAGTTGTTGATTCATTGGCTTTATTCGGGGTGAGATTCTTGTATCCCTATGTTTTTTGTTTTTGTTTTTTGTTTTCATTCACTGTTGATACTGTATTGTGGATGCCAGAACTGATTTCGGTATCTTCATTGGTGTTATGGTTGTTCCTTCTCATCCACATTACAATGTTTTTTATGTTTTAAGATTCTTTTGTTCATAATACAAGAGAAGTAGCCTACTACAGGGCATCACCTATTTGTAACTTGTCTAGTGTTGAACCTTAATAAAATCCTACTTTGATGTCTGCTAGGAGTCAAGTTTTTTCTGTTCTACAACTTATACAATTTTCTGCTTCCAGGCCGGAGCAATGCTTGGAGATGCTTTTCTTCACCAATTGCCACATGCATTTGGTATGTTCTCTTGTGATTGTTTTACATTGTGATGCTTCCATATAGCTAGTTTGTTTTACCAATACCTTGTGGTTGTTATTATCTTCAAGTTGAATTCCTTTTGAGAATTTCGTTCAACATTCCCAGAGCATGATGATACAAACTGGATATATCCACCTCATAGTTCTCAAATGCTCAGTTGGTGATGTCATGGTATTATTTGACCGAGCTTCTGATTAAGATTGCTTGTGTTGTAATTCTATCTATGTATCCTTCTCTGATACCAGTGGCGTGCGTGAATATATGCGATGCCAGTCATTAACTATTGTTTCATCTAGACTAGATTTTTCATGTGTTTGTGCAGTTTTTATAAGTATATTTCCTTTTTACTGATAGCAGTTAATTGGAGCAATTTCCGTTCTTATAACGTTGCCGATACTTAACACATCACATGCATAGTGTTTGGCAATTTTGTTATTAATCTCTCAGTTTTAACCTTCTTGAGCTAAAATTGGAAGAAAGAAAAGGCTCGTCACTATAACTTATGGATGTTTATAAGATTCTGTTGCTTATGGAGTAATCCATCGAAGAAACATGTACAGGTGGACAGCAGCACTCACACTCCCATTCACACCACCATGCTGATGATTTGAGCCATGATCATTCTGGCCACGAGCATTTGCATATGCCGTCAAGTGGGCATTCACATTCTTTGGAGGATCTTTCTGTTGGATTGTCCATTTTAGGTAAGCAACAAACTATGCAATGCTAAATATCCTGCACAATAATGTAGCACATTTTCACTGGTTACCAGTGAAGACGTGCTGCCCTTACAAATGTCTAACAACTTTTGAGTTTACGGTTTTGAAATCACTTGAGAATGTGGAGTTGTGAAATTGTGAAGGTAGGCAAAAGGTTGAAGAAGAATAAGTTCAAGACAGTAGCTGAAGTAATTCAATCTATTAATTCACGATAAACAGAAAGATACAATGTCAAGATTCAAGTCATTTGCATAAGCTAATGTCTGTCTTACTATCTCATCTTTCTGCTTCTACGCCTTGTTTTTCTTTCGTTAGTCTTCTTCATCTTTGCCATGTGCCGAGTGTGAAATCTGGTTCTTAATTGTGATTAATTCAATCGCTTCCTGCTTTTCCTTTTCGGGTTTGGTTGTTGCAGCTGGCATTGTAGTCTTTCTTCTAGTGGAGAAGCTTGTGAGATATGTCGAGGATAACTCTACTGGCGATGTTTGGGGTCATAGTCATCACCACCACCATAAGAGCAGTGAGAAAGTGAAGGATGGCAGTGATGCTGATGGAGCATCTGATGAAATTTCAGATAACATGTCAAATGGGGATAAGTTGAGTCAAAAGGATTCTGTTGTTCACAGGGTAAGCAATTGGCATTTCGCAAATCTGTGTGCCCTTCTCGGCTTTCTCCAGATATATTAGCAGTGTACTTAAGACCATGGTACCATATTTATTATTAATGCAGAGAAAAGGCAAGGCTGGTTCCAAGGGTGACAAATCAGATAAAGCCACCTCGGACAAATCTACTAAGTCTACTAAACTCGCACAAGGAAAAGAACCTGCAAAGTCGTCTTCAAATCTGGTGTTCGGGTATCTGAATCTCTTCTCTGATGGTGTTGTAAGTATGTGCTGCTCCTCGCTGTTCGGCTATGCTTAACGCATTTTGACAATGTGCTTCCACATTTATCAAAAGAAGATGTGTTGTATTAAGGATATAAGTTCAGTAAGTAAAAGAGTGTTTCCGTTGTATGTGAAGCAAAGAAACTATACAGTTCTGCCCTATGAACCTAATATGCCGTGTTGACTTTGCAGCATAATTTTACTGATGGAATGGCTCTTGGCAGCGCTTTTCTGCTTTATGGATCAGTTGGTGGATGGTCTAGAACTCTCTTTTTGCTTGCACATGAGCTCCCTCAAGAGGTTTGACTCAACTCTCTGTTGCAATATGGAGAATATTGCTTTTTAAAGTTGTAGATTGGTGAAGACTTCCACTGGCCTAGTTCTCTCGCTGTGTTTTATCAGCAAACGCAAGTAATTATTCTCTTGATCATTACAGTGTCGGGGATTATAGTTAAGCTTGATTATGTATGTAGGTGGGTGACTTTGGAATCTTGGTGAGGTCGGGTTTCAGCGTGTCTAAAGCTCTTTTCTTCAACTTCCTCTCAGCATTGCTCGCTCTCGTTGGAACTGCTCTGGTGAGTTCATTTACCTTCCACAATTTACTGTCCACTCAACGATGTGAATGAGAATCAACCATTCTGATTCCTTTCTACTAGGCTTTACTTTGGGGGAAAGATCCCGGACAGTCGTCTTTGATCGAGGTACTCTTACTTCGACACATGATCCTCATATTTTGCTTCTATCCAATTATCACCGTGTCGCCTGCTTCATCCACCTCTATCTGCCTTCGGAACAGGGCTTCACGGCAGGAGGGTTCATATACATTTCCGCAGCTGGTGTGCTTGCAGAAATGAACACTGGCAAAACGAGTCTGAAGAGCACGGCTGTTCACACAGTGTCCCTGGTATTGGGCATGTCTGTCGCCCTTTGTATTTCGCTTGTAGAATGAAATGCATAGCCTTGTCTGGTGCTTGGACGTGGCCGGCCCGGTTGCCTGTTGTATTCTTAACTTTTTGTAGGATGAGGAACTTAAGTTTGTTTCTTTTCCGCCTTTGGGATCTTCTACTGGAGTGGACTGTTTTGCGACTTTCTATATAGCATGTTTCCTGTTTCCATTGCATCTCTTCCTAGCCTACCTTGAGTAGTCGACTTCTGGCCCTCTTCATTTGTAAGTTGATCGGCTAGATGTGAATGAAGTTAGCAACATTGACTGATCCTTTGCTGACCAGGTGGCGAGAAGGCTAGGGGCGAGCTATCATGCCGCTGTACTCGCCACCGTGGTTCGAGGAATGGTAGATGCATCAGCGAAAGAAGTTAGCAACATCGAAGTTAACCGCATTTTGCGGTTAGATAAAACCGAGAACCGAAAATGCTAGCTGGTTACTGGTTTCTCTCTTAGACCACCGGAAAAGTATCACATTCCCATTCATAGATCTGGAGTTCGAAACCGATATTCAACAACAGAAATTGCTCGTTGGTGTGATCGAGGCTTTTAATTGTTCCATATCGAGTTTAGTGTCCAATGTGATACATGCGCCCGAATTCAAAGACTCATAATTTTTTTCAACTCATTGATCTAAGAGTTTACTAGCAAATGTTACTGATTTTGTTCGTTACTTAAATTTGGGTGATAAATTAAGAAGTGCAAGGTCGATGACTGATTAGTTAAATCCCAAAAGTTTAGTGGTCATTAATCAATTGACCAAAAGCAAAGGGTCAATTTCGTCATTAGATCCATTTTACTTCCAACCCCTACTTAGGTGATTTTGTATTCCTGCTCCGCGGTTTCATCTAGGTTTTCGCTATTTGACGTCAGTAGCTCTCGGTCAATCGGAAAACTCGACCTGCCGCCAGCCATGGCAGATGAACTGGGGGATGTGGAACCAGAGGTAAACGACGCGAGCAATCAGAAGAAGAAGCACAAGGGAAAGCACGACAAGCCTAAGCCATGGGACGACGACCCCAACATCGACCATTGGAAGGTGGAGAAGTTCGACCCTTCGTGGAACGAAAGCGGCATGCTTGAAGTCAGCGAGTTCGCCACCCTCTTTCCTTCTTACAGAGGTCTGTTCATTGTTTTCTGCTCGTTGGAAAGCTTCTGATGGTATCTTTATTGAAGTTCGTCCATTCATTCATTGTTTGTTCAATCCCCACTTCCAGAGAAATACATTCGGGATGTTTGGCCAATGGTGAAATCCGCCCTGAAAGAGCATGGCATTGAAGGCAGGCTCGACCTGGTAAATGTTTCTGATTGCCTCACATAACATTTGTATTGATTTTGAGCTGTGGATATAATATAACTAGCTATGAGATTTAACGTGCTCCTGACTCAGTTATTCACTTTGCTATAGTCAGAAGAAGCAATATAGAACCTCAAGTTCCATGCAAGAGGTCAAAGTAATGTGCTTTTTATGTGTCGCGTTTCATGACATGTTCTTCATTGCTGAATCAGGTTGAGGGGTCAATGACTGTTTCAACTACAAGAAAGACGAGGGACCCTTACATAATTATCAAGTCAAGGGATCTTCTTAAGTTGCTATCGAGAGGTGTCCCTGCACCTCAGGTACGGGATCGATTCCTGCTCTGGTATTCCTTGTATTACTAATCTAACTTGGTCAAAGAGTACTGCAGTGCTACAATAGGTGCTGCAACTTCTCCATGCACGGAAGTTTCTGCGGCTGAAACTTCCATTGCCCGTTAATATGGATTTCTGGTTGCACTTTTGTTGACTGGATGATCGAATTTCTTGTTTCTGTTGATTGATTCAGGCTATCAAGATTCTCAACGATGAAATGCAATGTGATGTTATCAAGATTGGCGGTATGGTTCATAATAAGGTACGCCTTGCAGAAAACAGTCCATGGTATTAACTAAATCATGTTGTCCTTACATCACCACATTCTGAGGTATGTTTGAAACATTTGGTAGTAATGTGGAATATGGTGGAGTTTGCCAATAATTCTGTTTTTATAAGTTTATCATTTGCATGCCAATATTATTTGTTGCAATCTTGCAGGAGCGTTTCGTCAAACGAAGACAACATCTTGTTGGGGCAAATTCATCTACTTTAAAGGTAATGGTCATCTTTGTCGTTGTATGGTCACTTGAAAACCATCTTCATTGGAACTTTGACATTTTGGTAGATCTAGTGCAGACCAAATACTTGGCTGAAATAAAACTTGAATGCTAAAGCTAAGAGTCACTTTGCTTTACTCCTTTTCCCTGCCTTAACCTTCTGTGATTATATTGTTTGCAGGCGCTTGAAATTTTGACTGGCTGTTATATTCTAGTTCAGGTAGGTGCTTTACCTTTTCTAACAACTTTTTTCAATCCAAGTTGCTATGAACAATGCGTGATTAAATGTATTTCCTTCTCGAACAGGGACACACGGTTGCTGCTATGGGTTCATTTAAAGGTTTAAAACAAGTTAGAAAGATAGTGGAGGAATGCATGCAAAATAAGATGCATCCTGTACACCATATAAAGGTACTCATGTTTCTGTTGTGACTCTTCCTTCTGCTATGGGTTTGTTAACAATTGTATTACTTTTGCTTTCAGATTCTGATGATGAAGAAAGAACTTGAAAATAATCCAGCATTGAAGAATGAGAGTTGGGACAGGTTTCTTCCCAAGTTCAATAAGTACGATATAGCTTTTTATCTTTTTAATTTTTGTGCACTACTTCTGTTATTCCTGGGTCCTACTTTTTTACATTTTCTGGAAAGTTACATCTGATGTGGTTTGATAATTTTTCAGGAAGAATGTTCAACGAAAGAAGCCTAAGAAGAAAGAAAAGAAAGAATATACACCATTCCCTCCTCCTCAACAGCCCAGCAAGGTTGATATTCAACTAGAGACTGGAGAGTACTTCTTGAGTGAACAGAAGAAGACAGCAAAGAAATGGCGAGATAAACAGGAGAAACAAGCTGAAAAATCTGCTGAAAACAAGAGAAAAAGAGAGGAGGCATTTGTTCCTCCAAAGGTTGGTTCTTTTGTCCTTTTGCTTTATTGGGCCACTATATCGTGCTGTTTTTATAGTTGTAAGCATGACCTTGAATCTGTTTGGCTATTTCAGGAATCTGCGAAGGCAAGTACCAGTAAGTCGGAAGAGGAAGACCTGGCCACAATGACCATGTCCATCAAGGTAAGCCTAAAACCTAACTCCACAATGACACGTACTTGTTCGTGTTATTCTGCTTGTTATTGAATAGAGAAATATTTGATTCTAGATATGATACCTCCTTTGAACAACGTCGTGTCCCTTTCAAATTTTGCAGCAAAAGACAAAAGAGTTTGGGAAGAAGAAAAGGGATGAGAATGTCAATCCGGAGGATTATATAGCAGTAGCATCTAGTGAACAACCGAAGAAGAAAAAACAAAAGAGCAAGTTTTCATTTTTCTGAAAATTTACTCTTTGTTCTTGTTTCACATTTGTTTGATCGATTTCACATGAATCCCCTCCCATTGTCTAATATATGTCATCGGACATCAAGTCTCACATGCCTCTCGGAAATGGGCGTTGTTTATTGTTGTATGTTTGACATTGGTAGAAACAGGGAATGGAAGTTTACAAAATTTATCAGGCCTACTGTTATTTCCAATCTGGACTTTTGTGTATTTGAGAATACCGAACACATAATGATCGGCCATTGTTTCATGGCTTGGATATAAAGGGCAATGAAGAAATTAAGGTAACTGATCCTTTGCTAAACCAGTAGTTGCCCAGCTTTAAAGTTGCTGTAGGTGCTTACTGGTTTGTTTGGATTTGATGTTCGCCTTACTCATCTGAGCTTCTTGTCTCTTCATTTATTCGTTTTACATTGCGAGTTGGAAGCTGATGAGTAAAGCAGGTACTTATGATAGTTGTGGCACACCCCAGAGATGTTTCTCCAGGTGCAGCAAATTCTTTGTTGTGCTGAGCCGCCTCTGGGATGTGCCTAGACATGACTAAGGCAATTAGCTGCTGTCTGATTCCTTTTATGTTGTCGGTACTGATTTTTAAGGTTGACATGGTTTCTCCTTTTTGAATTGTTTTATGGACAGCATTTTTAAGCGGAAATCGTATATTTTTTTTATCTGCTCAAGGATTGGTTTCTGGCTTGCCCCTGTTCTACTGCAGCTGCTACTATGTCAGTGCAACTTGCTGTAAGTCGTGATTTTGAACCTTTTGATAGGCTACAGTTTGGTTTCTATTGCTGGAATTTCCTGCTGTCTATCTTTCCATTTGTGAATACTCTTATCACACCACATTCCAATAGGAGACCAGAAAATTCATAGCCAAAGACCCAAAGTTGAAGTCTGTCTTAACGATGGATAATAGAAAATGTGTCCTGCCACAAGGAGCTTCCATACCCATGATCCTCATGTACTAGGTGTTGGATTCCATGACCTCCCAACTCTCCCAATAGCATCATGCCCTCATAACTCTGTAGAGAACCCTCCATCCTTGACCACAGATCAAGATCATATTCGGCACCATCGTTTGACGTGATTGAAGGTTGAGCTTCCATATCATCCACCCGAGAGAGTTCCTCATAGAGTTCATAATCATCTAGGCATAGCTCGGTACTGTAGTAGCAATGCTCGTTGTCGTCGACACTTGCGCTTGAAATTTGATCTTCCATCACCATGTCGGGAATACCATCGATCTCTGCTTGCAGAGATTTGATCACATTCCTTAGCCTTTCATCGTCGTTGTAGTCTTCAACTTGTAGCAATGACTCCTCCAGTAGTGACATGAGAAGGGCTTCATGATGGCCCTCCATGTGATTGTTCTGGGCTAGAAGAGATGCCATATTGGAGAAGACTAGGGGATATGGAATGGTGAGAACTGAGAAGTGGTGGGATTTGCTTGGTAGATGGTTTGTGATTGTGTTGTTCGTTTTGAGTCATTGAACCAAGTCATGTATGTATATATAACCTACTAGGAAGAGACCATCTTGCAAGTTTTATCATTATTGTAAAACCAGTGAATCAGAACCTTTTAGCTGGTACCATTTTGCTTTTGTTAGGTGCACGAATGAGGTGCCCATGTGAATGTATCATCTGTACAATAATGGGTTGGTGCCCGAATTGATCTTCTCATCGAGCATCCATGTGCATGTGTCATTGAATGTGTTTCCTCTATGTTGGGTTGCCTTCAAGATCCATCATTGGAAGAAACAAGATCCAGCATTGGTGTACATCGAACATATCATTTTGTTTGCTTTATTTTAATAGCGATATTATATTGACATGTTGTCGACCGAAACATTGGTGTGCCACTACAATATCCATTTGTCAAAGTCTGATCCTTTAATACAAATTTGCCAACTCTATAGGGACTCGAATACACGGCGCACCTCAGAGGTGAGTTAATGACTTAGAATATTGGTACTTCCCACAATAACCTAGTAAATCTCATGCTCACACAACAGAACATGAAGCTTAGGAGCATGTTCCAACCCTGATCTCGTTTAAGACCTTAAAATGGATGGATGAATCCAATAATTTGGGAGTGATTAAGGATTTCCTTTCCAGGGGAACATTTAGCTAATTGTCTTGTTAATCCATACTTGGTTGGTTGTTATGAGAGGCGCAGCAGCACATGCGATGTCGGATTGTGCATCTCCATCTGCCAAAACATTATCATGGAATGCTAGGATTAGTTAATTAATCAACCTCTAATTATTGTTGCTTCTGATCCGAAGGCCCACCAAAAGATCCCCATCCCAATTCAGTGGGCTTCAAAACCTAATATGTCGGGCCCGTGTTGCTTCTGAATGGATCTGATCCAACATCTCGCGGAGGCTTTTATTCTTCCCCACGCCAAGAAAGCCAATACAGCACCGAGTCACTGCACTGACTTCTCCCCTAAGTTGGAAGAGCGTCGATTCATAATAAGCTTTGCTTGCTGTTTTGTTAGACAAACCAAACTTGAGAATCCCAGCTGATCTAGCTCAAGAAGAGGAGCGCTGCAAGGAGAGGATCAATGGCGAGATACGATAGAGCGATTACTGTCTTTTCGCCCGATGGCCATCTCTTCCAGGTTGAATACGCACTGGAAGCCGTCCGTAAGGGAAACGCGGCGGTCGGCGTCCGTGGCACCGACACCGTCGTCCTTGGCGTCGAGAAGAAATCCGCCGCCAAGCTTCAGGACTCCAGGTTCTTCATCTTTCTTCTGCCTCACCCGATCCCCTTTTCCCCCCTCTAATTTCACCTTGTTAGTTCAAAAGTTTGAAGCAATAGGTTAGGGGTTTTCGGCAGCACTCGCTCTTGATTAGATTTGGGCTCTTGATGATATAGAAATCAGTGATAGAATTGTGTTTGCTGCCTTTAATAGGCTGCGGAGGAAGGGGAAAAGAAATCGTTCGATTTCCTGAAATGGTGCTGTCTAATTGATGGAACGAATGTTCTCTTGCTTCATTCTAGCACTGATTGCTGGCTCTTTCTTTATCTTTCGCCCTGCTGTGTTCTTTCAGATCAGTGAGGAAGATTGTCAACCTCGATAATCATATTGCTTTGGCATGTGCTGGCCTTAAGGCAGATGCTCGAGTGCTGATCAACAGGGCCAGGATTGAATGTCAAAGCCACAGGCTAACTGTAGAAGATCCTGTGACTGTTGAGTATATTACCCGTTACATTGCTGGACTTCAGCAAAAGTATACACAAAGCGGTGGTGTCAGGCCATTTGGACTTTCGACCTTGATCATAGGATTTGATCCATATACTGGGGTGCCATCACTTTATCAGACAGACCCTTCTGGCACCTTTTCAGCTTGGAAAGCAAATGCAACTGGGAGGAACTCCAACTCCATCAGAGAGTTTCTGGAGAAGAATTATAAAGAAACTCATGGGCAAGAAACCATCAAGCTTGCAATCCGTGCCTTACTGGAGGTATGTACTCAACAATTAGTCAAGTTTGAAAGTTAGATGGGGGGATATCTTTTGGCAAAACCGATTCAGCTTGTTTTGTAGTTTCTTGATCCTACAAGATCAATGTCTGGATAGTGTATGGAGCAGTTCGTTTCTTAGATAGTAGAACCAATATGATCAAATTCTGGATAGTATATGCAACAGTTTAATATGATTTCGTTCCGATGGTAGAGAGAGGGTCTTGGTTAACAGCATTTATTTTCCCAAATGGTTATGAATAATCTGAATCTGCTTTGGAAGACAGAATCTGATGTAGGTTTCATGACAAAGATGCCTGAATCATTCTAGCTGACAAGCATAGAGTCAACGCATTGTTTCTGTCTGTCTTTTCTCCATTTGGACTTCCAGAAAAATTGCTTTATTTTTGCTAGTCCATGTAGAGTTCCTGCTTTGTATCAAGTACGTTCAACATGAAGTATTGATGAAACGATTGAGTCAGATATCTGATGAAAAGCAAATGGTCTAGGACAAGACGACCCAACGGATATCAATATTAGATCTTCGCCTGCGAGAATAGCACGAAATGTGAATAAATGAATTGTTTCATTTATCGTTATTTCCGGGCCTTTTCGTTGCATTCACTTATAACAAGAAGCAACCACCAGCGTTTGGTGCAGCAAGATTACTTTATTAAAGCATCAAAGGCTGTCTTTCGGTCGTATATGTTAACTGATAGCTGCTTGTTTTGTTCTGTTCTGGTCCATAGGATGATGGTCATGCGTGCTTTTTTACATCAATCGAACCAAATTGCTCCAGGCTTCTTGCTGAACTATTAGCAGTGGAAACCAACTGAATTGTTTCATGACTCGTTTGAAAGGGAAACAGTTGCATATGTACGTGAATCAGTCTCCAAGTCCTGAAATTTTGAATTCTGTGTGTAGGTTGTGGAGAGCGGAGGAAAGAATATCGAAGTCGCAGTGATGACGAAAGACCAGGGCTTGCGACAACTTGAAGAGGCTGAAATCGATGCTATCGTGGCCGAGATTGAAGCGGAGAAGGCAGCTGCTGAGGCTGCAAAGAAGGGCCCTGCTAGAGACGCCTGATATTAGGAACACCCTGAATTTGTTCTTCCAACATTCGCAATGCAATTCAAATGGGGCACAGAACCTTTCGTTGTTGTTTTTGTTATCTTGTGCTACAGTACTTAACGTCTTCGAAGTTATCAGACTGAATGATAGATCATCATTATCAAGGTTACGACAGCCAGAAGCTTTCTTATTGAAATGGAGTTAATTATATTGGCGTAATGTTCTGTAACTGCTGTTCTCAACCTGCTGTTACATTGAAGCTTTCTTATTGAAATAGGTCTCAAACCACCAAACGTTTGTTTGATTCTCTATACGATCCGAAAACATGGTAAACAACGAAGCATGTTTCCCGAGGGTGAATTTGCAGATTTGCATGCAAGCAACAGCGTCGATCTTACATATATATACATACACGATACAACCATATCACCATTGTAGTACCCAAATCTTTCATACAACCATGTAGTATGCTACGTTTGCCGAATCTTCTCTTCCTCCACCTTACTATCCTCAACTCCTGCTTGATCAGTAGGCTTCAATGTCTCCTCTTGCACCTTACAGCCTGCTTCTGAGCTACCAGCCTCCTTATTCTCCTTCCTTTCTATGCCCTGATCACCATTACCATTCACATTATCACTATGCTTTTCACTATTCAGCACATCATCATCTTTTATGGGCGCGGGGATGGGATTGCCAACAATAACTGGATGAGCAACAGCAGGTTGAGATTTATCATCTTCATCTTCGTCGGAAGTGTCCGACTCAGCATCCATTGCATGCTCCTCCCCTAACTCCGGACCACAGCCTCCTCGGGACACTTTGGATCCTTTCCTAGACAACACATGCTTGAAGCTACGAGCCGACTTCTCCATCTTTTTCAAAATGCACTTCGTCTTCTCCCTCTTACTGCTACCCTTCCCAGGGCTGGAAGCTGAGTCCGGGCTCGAGTTTGGTTGCTTATTGGGTATCTCCCCGGAGAGGCTATCCTCAACGATGAACTTCACTCCACCTTCCTTCTGATTCGCTGCTCGAATGTTGGCATAAGGGGAATGAACAGCTTCCTCGTTATTACCATCGCCTGGATGATTAGCTTCCTCTTTGGGAGTCCTGTGAAATGCCGCAGAGATCCTGTGCAGACCACGACGAACTCGGCTTTTTCCTTGCTTTTTACCGTCTGCAGAAGCTTCGTCGGTGCTGCTGCTTTCGTTGCATTGCACTCCGGATGAATTGCTGCTCCCAAATGAGTTGCCCAAGGATTTGCTGCTCTGAGTGTGCTCGACTTTCCGAGTTTTTCCTTTTCTTGGTTCCCAAGTCTGGGATACTTCAGACCCAGGGTGATGGATCCATACCCCGGTCTCTTGTTGTCCCTCCACGTTGATTGGCTCGAAGTTGTCGGATACTTTTTGGGATTCCGATGTCATAGATGAGAATGAAGATCGATTAGTAGCATCGTTGGCAAAAGATTCACGTACTTCTTGTTTGTTCATCGCTTCTTCTCCTTCTATGGAACAGGTGGCATCCTGAAAAGGAATTACATCAATAACCTTCAACTTGGTTATTAGCTCCAGAAAGAAGTGATTTTAACAGAAAAAATACCTCTTTTTCCGGTCGCACAGTTAAGGCGAGATGCAGTCGACCCATTTTGATGTTCTGAAGGGGCAACCACATGTCGTGTCTCTCGCCATCTCTTAGATCATTAATATTGACGGTGCACTTCCTGCAACATTGAACGTATAAAGATGGTTTAGCTGTCGAATGAAGGACAAGAAGAACTCCAGTTAGCTATAGAGGAGAGGCAAACCCGAGGGCATCGTCAACAAAGTGGTCTTTGTCACGAACTTCGATAGAGAGAACATTCGGCAACTCCCAACTAACAATGGGGATTTCAAATTCCTCAAGCCATTTGGGAGCCAAAGTTTTCCTTTGGATCTTTGTCCTGAATCCATAGGGACCAACTTGTCCTTTCACGTATGGATCAGCTAAACCTATAAGGATTTGAATACAATCAGTGCTCCAAACAAGGGAAAGGTGATGAAGGTAGCAAGAATGGGAGGCTATTCTTTTCTAGAACGAACCGTTTAAGTCTGACGGTTTCATGTCGGATGCTTCGATAACTTCAACTTTTGCAAAAGCGATAGGCTTCTTCTCGTCGACAGAGAACCAAGTTTCTGATCATATGAATAGATCACAAGCATAAGGTCTCACACTTGGCATATATTAATGGCTGTCTTTCACCTGGCATGCATCATATATCTTCTACAATGCTATCATTCTATGATCTCCGGATGCAAGAAAAGAAAACTCTAATTACTATACCTTGACCAGGTGAAACAAACTTCTCCATGTCAGCAACTAGCATATTCGGCTGCAAAAGCAAATTATAGTTCGTCAGGAACAGGACTAAATTTCTGGATGTCATAGTAAGATTAGGCGATGAGTTGCTAGTTCATGTCCAACTAGATATTAGTTCAATGCACATAATAAGTTCATAATTCTACCTGAACCAGGGTCTGCTCAAATGCCATTGACAGAAGCTTGTCCTGGTAAAGGAACATATTGACCACATAAGTTTGTGATTATATGAAAATCTATAAAAGAAAGAGGTGGGAAAGGAAAAACATAATTTGTTCTTTCAAAATGAATGTAGAAGAACTCACTAGCCACCCTGCAATCCCAGGAAGCACAGTAACATCAACCCCATGGGTAAAGATGGGTTTCACCGTCATTTGGAAATAGGGCGGCTCAGCAAAGCATACTCTTAAACGTCCAATAAAAGGCCAGCGGCGTAGAAATTTTATTCCAATCAAGACCTACCGAAACAAAAACAAAAATGACAGTTGAGGAGACAGACTTGGTATACCCTTCTCGCGGGAGAAAAAAAACAGACATGAAAGGAATTCTTTTTAAGAATGGGTGACCAAAACTGCAGCTAAGATCTTTAATAAGTATTCAATTACAAAAAGAAAGATAATTGATCAAGTAACAACCATTACTATCAATATCCAAACGACTGGCCGCAATTACCATAGCCTTAGAAGTAGATTTGAGAGTAACAAATGTCTGAATGAGATAATTGATACAATTAAAACAGAAGATTTTACTTGGAGTGATCTGTAATCAGTAAAGATAATATGCATAACCCAAGAATATGTGCTTGATATGGAATCAAGGACAGAATGAAAACAAATTTAGCAATAAGACCATGAGAACAGCCAGAGCATGCAAGTTTACTATGTCGGCATTAAACTAACATCCACAGTAACTCAAAACTAGTGAGTAACTCCAGATTTAGATTTAGCCAGGCCATAGGCCAAACATACCTTCCCCTCCACTTGCATGCCGGTTATATGCAATTTTGTCCACATCCCAAATCCAAGCCTTCTCCTTAATTTCACAGCAAGAACTGCAAGCATATCATCAGCTGTACAAAACCTCATTCCCATCTCTAGTGCCTGCATAATTGTCGCATCTTGAGCAAACAAATAGACTACTGGAGAAAGTTAAAAATATGAAGGAAAATCTAAATGCTTGATAACACATACCAAGTGGTCATCGCCAGTACATTGGCGAAGAACCCTAACTTCGGTGAACATTGGCGGGTTTCTCCCCATATATAAATGCTGCACAACCGCCTTTTTCTGTGGACAAGCCATCCGCGATCAGAAACAAACCAGAACAGATTCTCTTGTATTACTAACTAAAGCAAGACACTAATTGCACATAGTAAGTGCCTCAGCTTGAAAGAAAGCTAAAATCTTTTTGAACCAGTAAGTCAGTAGCCATATACTAAACAGATGGACAAAGTAAAGTACTAGTTTCGTACAGCAGTCCATGGTTTATACTTGTCCAAGAACCAAGGAATGATAGGGAGAAGAATCATCTGAGAAGTGATCTCTTCCATACATAAAGGCCATATCTTCTCCACAGCATGGTTCAGCCACCTCACTGTTTCAGAATCAGATAGCACCTAATGGAAAGCCAAAAACAAAACCAGCAAAACCAAAAATAACCCATCAATTGAATGTCAATATCTGGCAGGACTCAACTTCAATACAGGAGAATCACAGTGAAAGCAGCTGGAATAAGCCAGTGCAAAGAGTATAACCTATAAAAAAGTTGAAAAATGAAACATCTGAGTTCCAGAAACAAATAGATCCCCTGAATGCAAGACCTAAACAGAATACCATAAAGGCACAAGATTTATGAGAAGCAAGTGTGGAAAATTGTACCCTTTTCCGATTAGCTTGTTTTGATTCTTCGTACTGCAGCTTCTTCCTCAACTTCGTTACACATCTCTCGTGAACCTATCCCCCAACAGTTGAAAGAACAAACCAATAAGAATCAACAAAGAATTAAGATCTAGGTACTTGTAAGGTGTAACTAGGAGGGAATCCATACCAGGAACAAATAAATTAGGGCAACGAAATAAGCAAAAGGGTGAGTCCAGCCGAAGCAAGAGAGCGCCCAAAGGAGAAACAAGACGATGGCCACATGGTGCATGATCGACATCTCTGTCAAATCCATATCTCCCACAAAAGCCCTTCCACTTCTCTTCTTCCCCACTTTCCTTCGCGCTAACTTTCTTCAGATGCAAACAGAAACTGGAAATAATAATGCCCGATCTTCGAAATCAAATCTGAACCCACATCGGGACCCACAAAAGCGAAGCCGTATCCCAAGTGAAAACGCAGCATCTGCGACTCTGAAGGGCTGGGATTTGGATTTTGCCTGGGACGTTTCGCGTTAGAGCTGTAACGGTATAACGAAATCTGTTTCCCCTGTTTCTTAGTGCGCGGAGCTCATTAACTTTGATGATGGCGATTGATGAAGACTATTTTCCCGCGGTAAACGCTAACGCAACACGTCGATTTGGGTAATAAAGAATACTTTCTGGAGGGGACACAAGTCAGAAGCAGCCGACATGGAGCAAGAACGAGGGAAGCAAGCAGGCGACGACAGAGGGAGGCAAGTGGGGCGGGTAATGGGCAGAGGAGAAAGCAGAGTATTTTAGATTTTGTCGTATATCCTATTTAGGATTTGCAACATCAGCTCATTGATCGCTCATCGCAGAGATACATTGCACCAAAAAGAGGAACTTGATGAACCGTTGATTAGAGAGGTGCTGGATAGAAAATCATACTTAACGGAGTAAATAAAGTGTCCAGTATAGATTATCCTTGCGATCACCAGCTAAACAACCTCCACTAGTATTTAGAAGTCAAAAAGTGAGGCACTTTATTATTAGATTCTTGCATTGCATGTATGAGTTTGTTATAAGTGGCGTATAGATATCGATATGATCATTTGAAACTCGTACTCAGTCTCGTCATATTCATTATCCTTATATAATTAGCTGGAATTAATTTTGAGTTTTAAGATGAAGTATTACGGATGGTGGTGAAGAAATGAGGGAAGGGGTGAAAGCAGAGTTAAATATCCTTTCATTGTTCTCTAGATTCAAATTTTTACCTTTTATCGACAAAAGTAAAGGTTCATTTTCGGAGATAATGAAAGGTTTGACGGAATGAAATTTAAGAGATATCACAATTATCCAAACAATAAGAAAGCATTGTTCATTCTTTCACATAAAAAAACCTAATTTTCACTTGTGAGAAGTTCCTTTGCATTTGTCAAGCTAAGGATTGGTTAATTTAGTACCTCGAAAGAAATGAACTGTGACTCGTACGAAATAGTCGATTGATCCATCGTTTCGAATATTTTTTCTTAATACATATGAAAACGATATAAACAACACAATCTTGTAAAGGAAGTGAAAATGACAGATAACCAATCCATGAAACTTGAACTGATCATCTCAAAATTATCGTCATGTCGCCGCTGTTACAATTAGAACACTGTAATCCGTATTACTCATGAAAAAATGATTATTCATTTATTCGATTGTTACCAGAGATACATGTATAGAAGTAGCAAAACTAAATTAGTGCCGACCACATGGCCATATCACAAGTACAGTCGTTCAATTCAAATTATCGATAATATAACTATAATGATAGCCACAACCGTCGACAAAGCAGCCTGCACAAAAAAAAAAAAAAAACCTTCATTAGTAAAAAACAATTCTCAAAATTATGAATCAAGCAAATTTTTTTTGATAACTAATCATGAACTTTGGAGAATTCAATATATGATTACAAATTAGAGAAAAGGAAACGAATAAAACAAAGGCTTACAAGAACAGAGCAAGCAATCAATCCAATCCTCTCGCGGCTGTCATACTTGGCACAAAGAAAGACGCAAGCCCCAGCATACCATGGAATTGCTCCCAATATGAACCCCAATATAAACCTGCAGCTCACCATAATTCGATCAGCTCAGATTCATCTGATCCCAACGACTCGAGTTACTGGAACCAAGTCTTTACTACGATCAGGGGAAAAAGAGCAGTACAGTAGCACTTACAAGAACCAACCAAGGCCGATACCACAGCAAGGAAGGGCCGAGGATCCTCTCTGAACCACGACATGATGACCTGTGACAGGAAGCTGGTGTGGATGAGGATGAGGATGATGATGAGATGCAGCAGCATATGGCTCAGTCACAACGCTAACTCCTTGGAAACTTTGCTGCTGATCGATTTGCATCCCGAATCCTGATGATCTCTTGGTCTTCTCCCCGCTCATGATGATGATGATGATTTGTTGTTAAGCTTCAAGCTAGCCCGAAATCTTATTACCAGAGAACTGTATATCTACTTGTTTCTCAGAGAATAACCCAATAAAGAAAAGGCTCTGTTTTCTTGATGTGGAGGATTCTTGGTGAAGTGAGTGAATGATTTGGATGATGGGGACAATCTTGAGGATCGATATATATTAAGGCACACAAATGGTGGGAGGAAGAAGAGAGTTTTGTTGAGAACTGACTTCTCACAATTTGTCATTTGGGATGTCGGTAGGATGAAGCCCGGATGGATTTGGTCCAGAATCGGACCAATAGTGTTATGAGATATTTACAAGTGATTATTGCGATGTGATTCAGAATGAAACCCACATAGAAAATGCATCTAAAATTTTTATTTGCGTGTTTATTTCTTTGTTTAACAAACATTAATGGAATGGAAACAAAAAAAAAAGGGAAAATATTGTCTGTGAATTGTATTGTGAATCTGATTCTATATTAATCAGATTGAATTCGACATAACATTTTATTACGATTGGAGATGTGAATTGATCGAATACTTTCTTCCGCGTTTCTAACTCTCTTATGTCTTACCAATCTGTACATTGGATTCAAACCTGGCGTCTTTTCTCTTGCTAATGGATGGGAGGAAAGTAAATCGACCATTGTGTTGTGGACAAATTGAGAAAGAGGTCGCTTCCTTCCAAAATTAGAGAACAAAATAAGTGTTCTGTTGCGGTCAAATATGCAACTGTGAATGGCGTTGTTTCTTAAAGGGACAAAACAACAAGTGTCTTAATAATCATCACCATGATTGCTTGCCAGCCCTCTTTGGTTCATTGTTTGGTTGATTTGTTTTCTTCTTTTTTCGTCTTTCATGGGGATGCCGCCAAGTAATTAGACCATCCCTGAATTATATGCTCGCTGACAAGTGAGTTTTGTTAGTTAATCATTGAGTTTACACTTTGATTTAACATTTACTCAATTAGATGATAATTTGGTGTTGGTTAGGTACATCTCTGATTCCTTCTCCTCCTATCCAACGGTTGCTCACCCCTACTTCACGTGTAGTATGTAAATTAGATCGCATCACTTTATATAGAACATTGGTAAGAGTTTTTGCCCGCTGAAAAAGTCTGCGTTGAAGAGAAAGTACAAAGATCAATTCCAAACGAAAGGAATGAGGAATTTTATAATGCTTTAAAGCATTGGTGCTTTAGTTTTTGCCTTTATGGTACAACTTGAAGTTGTACCTTTAATGTTATGGTACAACTTTAGGTTGTACCTATACTCGTTCGTAAAATCCCTTTATGGTACAAACTAAAATTGTACATTTAAGTTATGAGGTAAATGACACATTTGGTCACTGAGATTACTAAATTGTGTCATGTATAGTCACTATAAAAAATTAATATCAATTTTGGTCACTCGAATTACCGAAACTGGTCAAATTTAGTCACTCTCCCGTCAATTTCCGTCCAACTCCATTAATGTAGTTCGACGGAAACTTTTAGGAGAGTGACTAAATGTGACATGTTTCAGTAATCCGAGTGACTAAATGTGACATTTTTCAATAATTCGAGTGACCGGAGTTGGACAGAGGCTATAGAAGAGTGACCAAATGTGACCTGTGTCAGTAATTCGAGTGACCAAAATTGATATTAAATTTTTCTAGTGACCAAATATGACACGATTTAGTAATCTCAGTGACCAAATGTGTCATTTATATGGTACAACTTAAAGAGTTGAAGTTGTACCACAACATAAAAATCAAATTCCCTTATGGTACAACTCTAACTTGTACCTTTATCGATGTGGTACAACTTAAAGTTGTACTTTAAAGCACCAATACTTTAAAGCATAGTAGAAAGGCTCGAAAGGAATATCTATAGACTATCCAGTTATGACAGAAAATGAAACCTCTGTAACATACGAAGCGGCAAGAACATGACTGAACAAGTCACCAAATAAGCCTGGCTGTTCTCTATCTAGTATTTACCAATATTGATGACAATTTGAACCCGCCATGCAGTAGCGTGGGGCGGGGCATGGGTATCTTCTTCCGACCCGCCCTATCCCGCCCCGCCCTGTTCTTCACCCATTCTATCGCAATTTCTTATAGTATTTATTAATATTTATTCTATTTTCATTTTTTTCAACTAGTTAGAGTCGATCTTTCAACTTGTTAGACTCAATTACCCATTCTATTGTCACTATTTTTCAATTATAAAGTGTTTTCCCCTTCATTTATCGTAAAAAGTAAAATTTTGAGTGTATTATTTTTCAAATAACATATAAGAGTGGGTCGACCCGCTCCCCCGTAACCACACGGGTATTACCTGCCCCGACCAGTAGTAACGTGTGGCGAAACATGGATTGAGGTACCAGCTCCGCCCGCCCCATTGCCATCTCTGTTTAGTGTCTACCAACAAAGTGTTGACGTGAATTTGAATGGGACTTTCAAAGGGTTAATGGGCTGTACGTGGAAGGTTAGTGGGTTGGTTCAAACGACCAGTGGGCTTGAAGTTAACTACTGGGACAGTCATTGAATTGGGCCAAGGGACAGGTAATTAGATGGGCCGTGTACGTGTGCAATTAGGATAAGAAAAAATATTTAAGATTAAGAAAATTGATAAGATTGGAACACATAACACTAACTTTTCATTAATATTGCAGGTAGAAAAATTGCACCCTCGACATTCTCCATGGTGATTAACAGTCTTAGCTAATTCAATGTGATAACTCATTGTTTTTTTCAAAGTTTTCTCAAAACCTTAATGTCCTTCCAACGGGACTCCATGTAGTAGGAGTCGTTGGCTTGTGCATAGACACCACATTTGAACGCATGAGAAACACCACCACGGCCGTCGACTTGTAGCTTGAGCTCACCATCGATGTAAATTTCAACTCTCGAGGCGTCAACATCGTGGATCACATTCAATCGAAACCATTTGTCGTAGATGTTCTCCGCGAGAACATTCTTTCTATAATAAGTGAGGTTGCCGTCGTAGACTCTCACCATCGCCGTCGAGGCATGCGGCGGTGGGGATGCCCCAAACACCTGCATAATGCACACTCCAGATGTTCCCTTTGGCACGTAACCGTAGCCTTCGAATTGCCACACTCCGGATGTGTAGTTATAGCCCTGTTAATCCGATTAACATGTAAATTTATGATGATTAGCAGCAATCACAGAGCGCACAATATTTATTTTAAGTTTCTCGCTCTAAATTATGCCTACAACCACTACTCAGTACTTAATACACATGAATCATTTACAACACATACGTTCTACATTTATAGTCAGTTTTACACGGTTAAAACGACAACCAGTGATAACTGAACCTTTTCTGACCGGTTGAATATAATGTCTGATACGATTTCACTAACCACAAACTAGTGTTGGATAGTGATCGAGTAGTAGTAGTAGTAGAAAAGAGAGTAGTGCTTACATGGATGGCAATCTCGGTACGTGGCAAAGTGTTGGAAGTTGGATTGTGAGGCTTGTCGGTGGAGTAAACCCAACACCTGTGGACGCCATTGATGAAGCTGTAGCGCTGGTTTTCAGGAACATCGTAAGGCCTCTGGACGTTGAAGTATGTACTATTGAATGGGAGCGATTCGAAGAAGCCGCAGGTAAGATCACGGCTTCCCCGTACCAAACAAACTCCCATTATCAAAGTCGACCACCATAAAATGCACACAATCATCATTTGCTTCTCTAGAGCAGCCATGGGAACCGATATTCGATGGATAGGAATGTAAGAGAGCTGAATTGAGCTGTTTGGGTCTAAATGGAGATGGGTTCTCCCAAACAGACATCACTACCGCCGTCGCCGCCGGCGGCTGGGCCGGCCTAATATCCTATCTTTTGGCCTTTTCCTGTATGTGTATGTATATGGTCACAAAAATTAGTATATACAATTTTCATATAACTTATCACTATTGCATGATTAAGAATGAAAAATACTGATATCTTTAGCTACATATAACCAGAGTCCACGTGGCTAGATCAAACGGTCCACGTGGATGACATGCAGGAAAGGAAACCCCTCTCCCCTCCTCCAACTCAGAACTTCCACGAAGAAAAACAGCTATCCGCATCACCCAACAGTCGACCAAGATTTCCCCACCCTGAGAAGCCATTTCCGCATATATATAAACTTCAACAGAGAAAAGGGAGAGGATTTCGATTCAACTTTGTGATATAGCGGTCGGTAATCAATGGCTGAGCAGAGCAGCAGCGACTGCGGCGGGAGCTTCAACAGCTTCTACGAGACATGGTTCCAGCAGCTGCACCAGCTGGTCCGGCAGCTCCGGCTGTGTCCCAACCCGCCCACCACCCACGACCACCGCGCCGCCGTCTCGAACCTCGTGCAAACCATCATGTCCCACTACTCCGATTACTACCAGGCAGGCCCGGCCCAGACCCTGTGCTGGTCTGACCCACAGCACAGGGCCTCAAATTTTGGGGGCCTCATAATATATAACCTTGAAGCGGAGGCCCATCCAAACTGTGTCTCATATAATCTCATATGCTACACCTTTGGCTGGCGAGGCCCACAACCTCATAATTCACTGGGCCTCATATAATCCCAACACCTTTAACTGGCGGCTCACATTGAGACCTTATAATCCATTAGGGTGGACGTAGCTGGCACCTCTTGGGCTGGCAAGGCCCAACCCCTTAACCAGGCGGAACCACAAAAAAACCACTAGGATTAGGAATCGAACCATGGATCTCCTTTCCATTAAAAAGAGACTCAACCGTTAAGCTAGAGGTTGTTTGATGAATTTAAATTAACAGGTAGAGCATTTAAAGCATTTCTTCTTCTCTTTCTCTAAAATTTCTCGCCTCCCCAAAAACATCCAACGCCTAAATATTAATTATTCGCACCCAATTCTAATTAACTCCTAATCAATGACAATCCCTACTATCCGGGCTCCTAATGAATTTGTTTTCAAGTTCTAACCTTTTTTTTCTTTAGCAGGGAACTTAATATTGATTGGAAATTTGGAATAATTAATCTTTGGTTATAATTTTTAATCATGTATGAAATATTGCACTCAACAAATTTGGTTAGTAAGCATTTAGAGTCCAAAGATATACTTATTGATGATGCTATTTTAGAAATAGATGGTTTGATTTTGTTTTTCAAAAGATATAGAGAAGATGGAAGGGGTAATAAAGAATTTTATTTCAAATAATACTAGATGATTGTTACTTTTTGAACAATAATAGATAATATTATTACTTTTGTAATTATTTTTTGTACTTATGTAATTTTTATTATTATTTAATAAATTTGTGAGGAAAAATTTTAGGGCCACATTTTAAATTATCGAACAGGGCCTCCGAATATCATGGGACGGCCCTGCTACCAGGTAACCTCCCCTGCCACCTCCCCTGCATACGATCATTCCAACTCTGTAATATAACCTTAGCTAAATCACCTTTTCGTCATTCTGTGTTTTCCCCACCTTGGATAATCCGACGTACCGCGGGAATGAAATCTGTTGTCAATTTGTCATCCATCCTTACTGTACCAGCAGGTATATATATATATATATTCAATTACCTTTGGCACCGTAGCTAGATGTAGTGGTATCCAATGATATCTATGTTGAACATTTGCGGGAGTACTTCAGGTGAAGTCAGCTGCGGCGGAGCGCGACGTGCTGCAGATGTTCACGGCGCCTTGGGCCACCTCCCTGGAGCGATCCCTCCACTGGATCGCGGGGTGGAGGCCGACCACGCTGTTCCACCTCGTCTACACGGAGTCTAGCATCCTGTTCGAGTCCCACATTGTCGACATTCTGAAGGGGTTGAAGACAGGGGACCTCGGCGACCTGTCCCCGACACAGTTTCGACGCGTGAGCGAGCTGCAGTGCGACACGGTGAGGGAGGAGAATGCCATTACTGATGAGCTGTCGGAGTGGCAGGACGGGGCGAGCGATCTGGTGGGCTGCTTGACGGAGGGCGTGGAGAGGAAAGTGAGGAAGCTGGTGGGGATCCTGAGGAAGGCGGACGATCTGAGGTTGAAGACGGTGAGGCGGGTGGTGGAGCTGCTGACTCCGCAGCAGGCTGTGGAGTTCTTGATAGCTGCGGCGGAGTTGCAGTTTGGTGTCCGCGGTTGGGGACAAGACCAGGATGGCGTTCGTCGGTGTTGTTGATACTGGAAGACAACGGACGATCTGTGGTTGAAGACAGCGAGGCGCGAGTGGTGGAGCTGTTGGCTACCCCCTACAGGCTGTGGAGTTCTTGATAGCTGCAGCGGGGTTGCAGTTTGGTGTCCGCGGCTGGGAACAAGAACAGGAGAGGATGGCCTTCGCCGCTGCTAGGTACAACAAGTCGACTTCAATCTTTCCTCAATAGCAGCACAGTTTTATTGTTAGCAAGTGCAAGACCAAGTTTACTATGCTGTTAGATATGGCATTGCAGGAGTGTAGCTAGCTAGGTACAGAAGAAAGACATTGACATGGATCAGCACTTGTTTCAGTGCTTTGCTTCACTTGTTATAATGCTGCCCCTTGCAACCAAAATAAAGTAAAAGTTTGTGGTAGGGGAGAAGGATAATATTTGAGCTGTAATTTTGTACCTTAAACAGGAGGATTTCATCAGTACATGCGTAACATGAATCAACACTAATGAATGTATAGCAGTCATATGCACATATGACATAACGAAACAGGGATACAAGCTGATACAGATTACATGTTTAAGAATCTATCTGCAGACACTGAGACTTGTGATGTGCAGTCCTGGCTAGGTACTAGATAGTTTTCAACCAAACCGGCGCAGTAGTATCAGAAGTTCCAGAGTCTCTCCAAGGAGATGTTTACATACATATGATACTGAAACAAACCGGGAAGAAGCTATACAAGTACACACACAGGATATCACCATGCATGAGCACCCTTTGTGGCTCCAAAGACGATTGCAACTGTCGCAACCACAGCCTATCAACAAGACATAAAACCAAGAGATGAACAGCAATTACATCAATTATCTTTTCCTGGGAAAACAAACACGTATGACATGGCTGTATGAGGATGAAAAATATAATGGTGGAAGACTGATATATACTTCTGTATGAACTGAGGATGAACTGGTAAAGTTATGCATAGTAAGGGGCTCGTATTGGGTTCTCGAGTTAATCAAAGTCACCTAATCCTTCGAGCACATCGCTCTGAGGGTGGTTTTTATGGATAGGTAGGGGTTGCTACTGGGTTGGGAAGATGCACGTGTACTATTGTAACCAAAATGCCAACCTAAACCTCACTCGTTCCACTTGTGAATTCTCAGTCCTGACCTAAGTTACCGAATGCTAACTGTTCCAAAACATTGAGCATACCTCTGGTACCAATTACACTAGATTGGATTCTAGAGCTTCCAATTTCAACATTGTTATTGTCGCTATACCATGGGGCTGACCTGCTATCTCAATATTAAGCATCTAACAACCTAATCCCCATGTTGATTTCTTCTGCCTGTAGTATTTGCTGGTGCCCATCCCTGGCCCAGCTGCCTATTTTTAAGTATCAAATCTCATAAAGTATCAAAAGCTTTACTTACCGCGATTGTGCAAGCAACATAGCCTGGTTTCTCCCTGGGGTCTATCCTTGCACAGAGTAGAACAAACACCCCGAGGTACCAGGGGATGGCACCAAGAAAGAAACCAATGATGAACCTTCAAGAATGGGGTAGACAAAGGAGCACATTAATATAGTGAAGAGAGAATGAAATTTATGAGACTAAAAGTAGATGTCTTGAAATGTCATGAATATTAACATACTTAGCATCAACCAAATCTGTATTGCCTAACTACGAATGTTTCATGCCGGTTTTTTCTGCTCCAGTGAAAGGACATATACAAATGTGCTACCAGGGATAAGATCCACGCCACAGATCATCAGAATCCAAACTAACCAGTGTCTACATGTACATAACCCGAATGTGAGAGCACTTACATCAAAACTCTATCACAAATACTAGCCAACCGAAGCTCGAAAAACATGCTACCCACTACCAAGGGCTTAACAATGAGGTTTCCCTTCTTTTGTATTTTGGGTGGTGACTACATCACAATTACCAGGAACTACTAATTTTAAACATAGAAATCAACTGTTTGTTTACCAAGATTGCATCTTTTTACATGATCAAATCTTAAGCTTCCTCATTACAGAGATCACTAAAATCTTAAACATCAGATTCACCACAAAGATCACTAAAATCCTCTGAAGTTCATCCTGAGCATTTCGGAAGCTACATGTTTAGCCACCAAATGCATTGTAGAACTATCTCATTACTTACACATCTGTTTCAAGATCCTAGTCCATTAATCAATCTTGCACCCCCGTAATCCTACTCTCAAATCTCTATAATTTTGTGCTCACCAACTAGAGCAAAAATTCAAAGTCAAAATGAAGTTGCCAGAGTTCAACCTGTTCAGTATAGTCGGAAAGGAAAGCACTTGAGCATTAATCAGGGTAAACAACTTACAAGACCCAGCCAAGACCTAGACCGCAGCAAGGGAGTCTCCGTTCCCGCCGCACAGGTCTTCCTTCAGCAACGGCGTACCCTGAACCAGCGATCAGCCCAGCAGCTAGTCAGCAAAGCCCAACGAACCACTTCCAAAGCCAACGAATAGATCGGAACTAAAATAGCGAGAGATATTATACCAGGGACGGTTTGGTAGCCATGAGCATAGTACTGGGAAGCGGCGGCGCCGGGCGGTGGCACCGGTTGAGGGAAGCCGATGACGGGCTGATGCGGCGGCGGCGGGTAGTTGGCGACGCCTTGAAAGGTACCGTACTGTGGAGGCTGCTGAGAAGGCGGAGGAGGAGGATGGTGCTGGTGACCCACAACGAATCCTCTGTTGTTCTTCGTGTCTTCTTCTCCACTCATCGTGAATTCGGAGCTGAGAATCACGGAATCGGGGGATTCGGCAAAGGAGGGAGAATCGGCGATCGAGCAGGGGAAATGCAGAAGTTTGAGTGATTTGTCGCCGGACTGAGTCAACGATCTTAGTTGTTGTATATAGACGTGCAAAAGCCCAACCTCAAATTAACCTTCAAGATTTCAACTTTCACACATTGCAACAGTCCTGAGATTATGTTAAGGTCACTATATGGTCTTATCACTTATGAATATAGTTAAGTTACATTTTTGGCAAAATACACTTGCATAGCCAAAACTTTGACGTTTGTGACAATAATAGCCATTTTTGACGAAATACCAGATATAGCTAGAAATTTGAATGTTTGATGACAAATATAACCATTTCCGTTACATTCTTTAACAGTGTTAATGACACCGTTAGTGGAATAAACGGAATGCTGACTTGGCTGCCTTCTCAGCCTCTCCGTCGCTTACACCTCATACTTCAGTGACATGTAGGACGACACGTCATTAAAAAAAAAAAAAAATTCGGCAGCCTTAAAAAATCGGGGACGCGAGCCTCGTTCTCCTTCCTCTTTCTTTTTCACTTCCCCCATTGAATCTAGGGTTTCAGAACCCATCACCGCCGCCCCTCCTCTGCACGGCCGCCGCTGATTAAAGGAGGCCCGCCGCCTCCTCTGAACGGTTACCCCTTCGCCTCCGCTGTTCAACCCGACCTGACAATTTTTTGGTGGAATAGGGAGAGGTAGGCTGCTGATTCATCGGAATCGGAAGAAGGAGAAGCAGAAGAACCCGCGACGGCGACAGCAAGGAGGGCGAAGAGGAGGAGAGAGGGGAGGAACGGAGCCATTCGGTTGGTGGAGGTGGAGTCATCTAGAACGGGAGTGTGGATTGGGGAAGAAGCAAGCAGCAGCGAATCAGCAACAACGCCACCATTAAAGCTGTCCAAGGCCGAAATCGAAGACGAAGCAGGTGGTGGTGACGGCGAAGCAATGGATTGGGAAATGGTAAATTTGGGGATTCGGAAGAACCCTAGAAATTAGATTCAGAGCTACGCCCTCTCTCCCTCTACCTCTCTCTATTTCCTTTCAGCTCGTTCCCTGCGCTTTACCTCTCTGCCTACCTATCTCTCTGCGCTCTCTCTCTCTCTCTCTCTCTCTCTCTCTCTCTGTGAGAAGATGGAATGGGAAAGCAAACAAAGGGTATTCGAGCAAAAGTTTTTTTGCTGTGGGGAAGGGAAGGAGAGGGAGAAAGGGTGGGAACAGAAAACAGAAATGAAATTCCCAAACTACCGCTCCCCCGACCCGACTCACCAAGCATCGCCGCCTCCGCCGACCCTCTATTAACCACCTGGAAGCATCGCCGCCGACTCGGAGGAAAGGGGTTTTGGGATGGGATCGATCGGAAAATGGGTTTTGGGTGGGAGGAAAATCTGGTATGAGGAGGAAAGGGGTTTTGTTTGTCGTTGCCGGGATCGATCGGGAAAGGGGCGCTCCTCGTCGGCGAACACCGCCGCTGTTCTGGACTTCGCCTCAGCTGTTCGTGGTCTTCGTCGGGGGGAGTAGGGTTCGAAGGGAAGAAGATGTTGACTGTGGAGGAAAGGAAAAATGAAAAGGAAGAGAGAGGGCGTGCGTGGCTGATCTGTTCTTATTCTTTTTTTTTTTTTTTAATTCCACGTGGAAAATACTTACCGGACGAAAATCGCCACATCGGATTATCCGTTAATCCAGTCAGCACCGTAAGTCACGCCGTCAAAGAATTGGACGGAAATGGCTATATTTGGTATTTCGTCAAAAGTGGCTATATTTGGCAAAATCGTCAAAGTTTTGGCTATACAAGTGTATTTTGCCTACATTTTTTTACCGTCAGACTAATCCTAATGAAAATACATGGTAAATAGTCAACACAACAATAAAACATGTCGTTATAGTTACATAATCTCGAATTTTTTTATAAATAAATGTACTATATGTTCGACATAACAAGACGATTTTTTGTTAGTTTTTTGGAGTTGCTTATATAACTCTATGCCACTAAAGTTTCATTTCTTCTTCTTTTATGTAATCGACGGTAATAGTCAAATATAAAAATTCTTCTGGGAAAAACAATGTGCAATCATTAACAATTAATAGCAAAAACTTAACTATTTAAATATCAGAACCAAATTTTTTTAACTAGATGTGATCATATTTCTTAGTCTTATTATTAAATTGGGCCGAATCAGAATAATGTATAGTTTAGTTTGCGCTTAAATTTAACATATTATTTCGAATTTTGTTTCATTTAATATCGTAAAATGAAACCAAGATTAACTTAGTGAAGATTCGACTCAACCTAATCAAAATTATATAGAGTGGAATTGAAGTACAATTTTATCCAATTTAAATGTTTGTGTGCCCTACTTTTGATACGATTCTTTGATTGATTGGGTCCGATTCCGCACCGAATCGGGCCATAGTACCCAACCCTTACCTCAGCGCGCCTTATCGAAACAGCAAAATATGACAGGCGGAGAGGCAGCCACATTTCTCATCAATTTCCCTCTCCATCCCAAACAATCCTGCTTCATCTCTTCTACTTCCACTCTTTCGCCGGTCTCACTTCCCCTGCCCGAGTGAAACTCCCTCGGAATTCTCGAACCAGAAGAAGAAAGCTCCGGTGAGTGCTTCCATTGATGCTCCCTAATTAGAGCTGGGCCTGTGCAATTTGTTTGTATTCCTTTGAACACATGGAGTTATAAATAATCTGGTTTTTGAGTTTGTGGTACTGAGGGGGTTAAGGGGGGAGAAAAGGGTGTCGTAAAGTTTGTTCTTTTATCTTCTTCCATGGGGTCGATGGTGGTGTTAGTTGGAAGCATGCCGTCTTTAGCTTCTTTAGTTAGCCTGGGGAGCTTGGGCATGGCGGCAGGGACCTCTACTGCTCCCGAATCCTCGTCTTACTCCATCGTCCGTAGGGTTTCCGTGTCGAAACGCGCCCTTAGGCGAGCCAGGACGTGGCATTGTATATCAACAACTTCGTCAATTTGTAGATACTCTGTTACCACCACGGATTTCATTCCCGAGCAGGCTAATGCAGTGTCGTCTCCCGATTCGAATAGTACATTGAGAGTCAATAATAATAACGGCGATGGTAGTGAAGGTGATGGTACTGATGTTGTACTCCAAGCTGCTCCAAAGCCTCTTTTGAGACCTTCCCTTGGGTTGAAGAGTCCGTCTCGAGAGGCTTCATCGACTAATAATAAGGTGGAGAGTGATGGGGATCATGAGAGGGAAAGGGTGATCCAGTCTCTTGGTGAGGTTCTGGAGAAGGCGGAGAAGCTTGAAACTGGTAAGCAGAGTCAGCTCGGTAGTCGAAATGGTAGTAGTGGGACTAGCAGTAGTGTAGATAAGACAGTGGCGGCATCCAATCAGGTAAATCCAGCTGCGGCTACTCGTAAAGCTAAGACCTTGAAGAGTGTATGGAGGAAAGGCGACACAGTGGCGAATGTGCAGAGGGTGGTGAAGGAGATTCCCAAGACTGTGAATAAGGTTGTTAAAGAAGAATCTCTAAGTAGTATTGATGGGGATAAATTGGAATCCCAACCCAAAGCCATGCAACCGCCTCTAAGTCAGCAGCCTCAGTTGCAGGCCAGGCCAGCTGTGGCTCCTCCTCGACCTGTAGTTAAGAAGCCTGTCATCTTGAAGGATGTTGGAGCATCTCCAAAATCATCGGTAGTTTCTGATGAAGTTGGCGTAGCTAGTTCTGGTAAGAGTAAAGAACGACAACCAATATTGGTGGACAAATTTGCGCGTAAGAAGGCTGCTGTTGATCCTATGACTGCTCAGGTTTTTGCCCCAACAAAGACAGGGGGGAAGGGACCTGCTATGGGGAAGTTCAGAGAGAAGAGGAAAAATGTTTCAGCTGGGAGCCCAAGGAGGCGGCTGTTGGCTGATGACGACGTACCCGATGATGAGACATCCGAGCTGAATGTCTCGATACCTGGTGCAAGGAAAGGGAGGAAATGGAGTAAAGCGAGTAGGAGAGCAGCTAGGCTACAGGCGGCCAAAGATGCTGCCCCAGTGAAAGTAGAGATTTTGGAGGTAGGGGAGAAAGGCATGGAAGTGGAGGAACTAGCCTTCAATTTGGCCATTGGTGAAGGTGATGTTCTCGGTTATCTATACTCGAAGGGAATTAAACCTGATGGGGTGCAAGTACTGGATAAGGACATGGTGAAGATGATATGTCAAGAGTATGAGGTGGAGGTCGTTGATGCTGATCCAGTTAAATATGAAGAGATGGCAAGAAAGAAGGAAATATTTGATGAAGATGATTTGGACAAACTGGAAGGAAGGCCTCCTGTACTAACAATAATGGGTCACGTCGATCATGGCAAAGTAATTACAAACTGTCCTTTCTTTGTTTTTCTGATGAACATGCTATACTTTGGAGCCTTCCCCTTCCGTTTCTTATTCCTTTTCATGAATAAGTGAGTGCTGATTCATGTTTTCTCTTACCGGCATGACAGACAACTTTGCTGGACTACATTCGTAAAACTAAGGTATGTTGAGAGACTTATCATCGTGATGCTGCAAAATTTATGTTCTGTGCTATATCCACATAGGAAATCTGGGTTTCTTGCATTTCGTCTATCTAACTTTCAATTGTATGGATCTCCTTTTTTCTGGTTATCAAATGTCGCCTGAGAAATAAATTTAACTGGATGCAGCTTTTTGTCTTCTTTAGCTAAGTTAGCCATTTCCAGCATGACCTTTTCATAAATAACTGATACTTGCTATTTGCAGGTGGCTGCATCAGAGGCTGGTGGGATTACTCAAGGAATCGGAGCATATGAAGTTCTTGTACCTGTGGATGGCAAAATGCAACCATGTGTCTTCCTTGATACTCCTGGGCATGAGGTGAGCTGAGTTGAAGAACTTTGTGGTGTAATTTTGGCACCTTACCGTTTAGGTTTCTATTCTGTGACGAGCATCTCTGCTCTGGCATGTTAGCTATCTTCTAATTAGCTTGGTTTTATGGCTAGCTGATTGGTCAACAAAGTCTTGCAACAAAGACCTGCTTGCTTTCTGTTTTTCTTCAGATGACATATGTGTTATCTGATCCTGTAGGCATTTGGAGCAATGAGAGCACGTGGTGCACGAGTGACGGATATTGCTGTTATTGTGGTGGCAGCAGATGATGGTATTCGTCCTCAGACAAATGAGGCCATAGCTCACGCCAAAGCTGCTGGTGTACCTATTGTAATTGCTATAAATAAGGTGCACCAATAACATTGGAAATTTTGTTGCTTAACTCTTCAACTTTCTTACCTATCTTGTATGGACTTCTGGGAATTACTGACGTCAACAGTTTTCAATGCATTAGATAGACAAAGATGGAGCTAATCCAGAAAGAGTGATGCAAGAGCTGTCTTCAATAGGTCTCATGCCAGAGGATTGGGGTGGTGACATCCCAATGGTTCAGGTCTGTCTTTATCACATTTGATCTCTTAGGCTTGCAGCTTTTTTCTTATCCTTACATTTATTTTTCTGTGTGCTGTTGGCAGATCAGTGCCTTAAAGGGGAAGAATATTGATGAACTGTTGGAAACTGTTATGCTTGTTGCGGAGGTTAGTTAACTTTTATTTGTTCCTCAGCTGTGTCTCTCCCCCTTTCTTGTGAACGTCCATTTTCATAAGTTTTGAATTAAGTATATGCCTGCATTCTTAATTAGCAGCGATATCCAATGTCTTAGCCTGGTCAGCAATATTACTAATGTAATTTTCTTTAGAGAGTTAGTTTCCATCTAGGCCTTCTCAGAAAGAGTGTCTAGATGGAAGTAGCTGTTGATAAAAAGGCCATCTGTCTGTTTTGAGTTTTGAGTTCTTGATTCTTGTTTCAGCTACAAGAATTGAAGGCGAACCCTCACAGGAATGCCAAGGGTACTGTTATTGAGGCAGGTCTTCACAAAGCTAAAGGACCCATGGCTACATTTATTGTACAGAATGGAACCCTCAAAAAAGGGGATGTTGTGGCTTGTGGGGAGGCCTTTGGAAAGGTTGGTTGACTAGCTATTTTTCATATCTGGGTGAAACATCAGATCCTTTTTATTCTCTCTAATCTTTTATGTCTGAATTCCAGCCCTCAAATAATTACCTTGGTCCATGATAGGTGCGGGCTTTATTTAACGATAGTGGAAGTCAAGTTGACAAAGCTGGACCGTCAATACCTGTACAGGTTTGTCTTGTAGATTGTTCAGCGTACATTCTGTTCGAGTTCCATTGAGCCTTTGTCTGTACAAGAGCTTTGTCACTAAGTTTTTATCTAAGGTGCTATTTTCATAGCTGAAAACTGAGTGTTGGATTTTGTTAACAGAATCATATAACTGCTGAAGTTATGTTATACATTTGTATCGTTACTTTAGTTGGAAATGACATTTTATTCATTCAAAATTTAAGTTAGAGAGTTTACAAACAATTTGTTTTAAATTCAGTATGATATCTGCTCAAGTTATACTAGTGTTAATTGATGCTTATGGACTAATATTCTTCTCTATGGACAGGTCATTGGATTGAATAATGTACCACAAGCAGGCGATGAATTTGAAGTTGTTGGCTCACTTGATATTGCCCGTGAAAAAGCAGAAGCACGTGCTGTCTCATTACGGGATGAGCGCATATCAGCAAAGGCTGGGGATGTGAAAGTGACACTTTCTTCCTTAGCCTCGGCTGTTTCTTCTGGAAAGCTATCTGGTTTGGACTTGCATCAGCTGAACATTATACTGAAAGTTGACCTTCAGGTACATCTGACATTTATTAATTGCATATTAACCCTCCCGATACAGAAGTATTCTTGTGATCTATCTAAATCTATTTTTATTGCGCCAGGGGTCTATTGAGGCTGTGAGGCAAGCATTACAGATACTCCCTCAAGACAATGTCTCCTTGAAGTTCCTCTTGCAAGCAACAGGGGATATAAGCACCAGTGATGTTGATCTTGCTGCTGCAAGTGAATCTATCATTTTTGGATTTAATGTGAAAGTACCAGGTTCCGTTAAGAAGTACGCTGAGAACAAAGGCGTGGAGGTTCGGCTCTATAGAGTCATCTATGAACTTATTGATGATGTTCGCAACGCAATGGAAGGACTTCTGGATTCTGTTGAGGTGACTGCTTTTTCTTTGTGATCTTCCTTCTAAAGTTCATAAAATTACTGGTTTCCTTGTATTCTGTCTGGCAAGTAAAGGGAATTTATACTCTCTTGGAATCACAGCTTTCTAAAAAGATGAATGTTACTTTCCACTTATAGGAACAAGACATGATTGGGTCAGCAGATGTCCGAGCTGTATTCAGCAGTGGCAGTGGTCGTGTTGCTGGGTGCATGGTGACTGAAGGGAAGGTGGAGAAAGGATGTGGCATTAAGGTGGTACGGAACAAGAAAACTGTCCATGTCGGTGTTCTTGATTCTTTGAGAAGAGTGAAAGAAATCGTGAAGGAGGTATGTTCCCCTTCTAGAATGCTTTTGCATGGGGTGCTATGCTACTATTCCTGCATAACTTGGCTCTTAATCTGTACTTAGCTTCTATCAGCTTGAACATCACGCCGTCCTTTTCTACCCCTACGAATCCCTCTTTTCTGACCTCGTTTGTTTCCTCGAACAGGTAAGTGCTGGCCTAGAATGCGGTATTGGGTTAGAAGATTTCGATGATTTCGAGGAAGGAGATGTGCTGGAGGCTTTCAACAAGGTCGAGAAGCGACGAACCCTAGAAGAGGCGTCGGCTTCAATGGCTGCAGCTGTGCAAGGAATGAACTGACGTGACTATATAGATCATCTTCATAAAAAAAAGCATTTTGGAAAATCGACGACAACCCAACTCGAGGGGGATGCGTTACAAATGGACTATATTGGTTGACCGACAGCAGCAGACTGTAAGAGGAATCCATCAACTGGTTCGGGCAGGCAGGCTGCTGCATTCGTGAGCATTGCGGAAGTATGCAGATGCAAAACTCATAACCCAGAATGAGGAAGGTGGGTGGGGATGGATGCAATGTAGGGGGCAGTGTTTTTTAGTTCGTGCATTGCTTGTTATGTATGCCATCCAGTTGGTGTATATAGTGATGGTGGCGGGGTGATGATTATTGTATATCTTCTTCTTCTTCACATCTCAGCGGATCTTTCTGCAAAAGAAAGAGAAGTAACTAATTTAAAGGCTTATCAATCAATCATTCTCAGCCAAGTTCATTTCTTTCATGCATCTTTCAGTTTTTCTCAAGCTAGCTCACTGTAAAAAATGTACTCTCAGGTTAATATAAAATCGTAGTTCATAGTCGTAGATGATAAGAGCTGTTGTGACGAAGCTAAAAGCGCCATTGGGTAAGTAGGAGGTTAAGGTTGTACAAGCCTATCATGAGCTAAATCATGTTATCGAGTTTTAATTAACTAATTTTCGTTAACAAGGAATACTCCGTCTCTATCGATATTTTATTATTTAGAGTCGATACATATAAAAGGATTTATTATTGATATTCTTCGGGTATCTTAGTCTCGTATGATTAGTAATAGTAAAATAGGTCCTCTTGAAATAGCTTTACTGGAGGACAAAAGATAACCAAACAATTTTTAATAGAATATACGTTACGATATTAATATATACAAAATTCTATGTATTATTGTAAGTTTTTTTTTAAGGAGCGTACTATTGTAAGCTAACAAAATATTATAAATTTAAATTTAAAAATAAATATAATTATAAAAATGATTAAATTATACATTCAGCTCCTTAGAAGTACTAAATATTTAAATTATACATATTTTTACTAACTTGAGTGACCATTTATTTATACACCCGGTTTTAAAAATTCAAATTTCAAAATCCAAAGAAGAAAAAAGGAAACAGAAAGGCGATGGCCAATGAGCATAATAACGGGCAGCTCGAGTGATGCGAAGCGAGGATACCGCCAACCACGCTTTCCATTTCTGAATTCAAATTCTCCACAGTCGAAAACCCTTCCTTCTTCTTCCTTTCCACACACTTCACTCATTTCCCCCCACCTTTTCCCTTCTCCAACCGAATTTTCTTCCCCAATCGGAACAAAAACCCCACTTTTGAGATCATCCCAACGGCGGGTAACGGCAGCATCAGTTAACAGTATAAAAGAGCAACAGTGCCCTCTCAACAGTCACCAGCAGGAGATCCATGGCGGCGGCATCATGACCTCCAGTGTTTATGATCAGTGAGCTCTCTCGCAAGTCGTAACTGGTTGACCACGACGACCATGGCGGATCCCGTTTCTTCTCCTCCTCCTCCTTTACCTAACGGTAACGATTTTCGTTTTTCTCTTGGAACTCTTCGCTTTATACGCAATTACGTGATTGGGGTTTTTTGTTGTTCCAATTTCCAGGCCGGTCATTGCTGGGTTTTTCTCTGACTTCTCCCGATCTGGTTATATGCGCTGGTTCTCCTGATTTGATGAGCAACAATACCATTTTCCAAAATTCCCCGGAAATTCTTGATAGGAACAAGTATTACTCCACGGAGCTCTCTCTAGACAATGGCATCAGTGGGTCACCTGAATCTCGCGCCAAGGAAGAAACTAGTAGATCTGTTAAATTCTCCCCTTTCTGTCAGACGTTCTACAACAAAGAATTGTCTCCAGATTCCTCCATCGAGCTCTCCCTGCAAGGTGCCATTCCTGCGCCTCTTCCTGGTGTGATAGGCATCAATGTGGGGTGTACGACTGATGATGGCGCTGTGACTGTGGTAGATGGTTTGAGTTTTGGCAAGGATAGTTGTTTCCATGGTGGCGATACTGTTAGGACGAATGCTGTGGAGGATGAGAGGCTTTCTTTGTACCAAACAGCTCGGATGGGTAACTTCTCGTATTGTTTTGGAGGGTTGGAGGCAGGGGATTATGATGTTGCTCTTCACTTTGCAGAGATTGTATTCACCAATGGGCCTCCTGGTTTGAGGGTGTTTGATGTTTTTCTACAGGACAAGAAGGTAAGGAAAAGACTGGTCTTTTTTCGACAGTCGAATTTATCTATATGCATTAGAGTAGGCATTGAAGCACCAAGCTCACCTTAATAAGTCTCGACTTATAAGTGTGCATTTGGTGCTATAATTGTGTCAAACTGAGTTCAGTTACCAGCTTGATACATATAAGTGAGTTCAGTAACAAAATTGATATTCAACCCGTTGATATTGGTAGGAATTGAGTTCCTCTCGGTGACATTATTCCGCTTGATGATTGCTCCTTCTTGTAGGTTGTTTCCCATCTGGACATCTATGCTCAAGTTGGGGCGAATAATCCGTTGGTCATATCTGACCTTAAAGCTTGTGTTGGTAGGGGGCAAGACTTACGTGTTAGATTTGAAGGTTTGATCGGAAGTCCAATTTTAAGTGCAATTTCAATCACCAAGGATGATTCTGCTTGTAAGTGGGTTTTCTCATGAGGGGTTCCTTCCTGCTGTTTGTTCTGTTTCTGTATGGTTTGAGTTAGAGATGTAGCTACAAGTTTGTTGATATCTATTTGTTAAATAAAGGTGCTGGAGAAGAAGCTCTCCTAGCCAAACGTATGAGGTCTCAAGTACCAGAATGTGAGTCGCCAAAAGTAAGAAATCTTTATCCTCTTTGGCGCCATTTGCAAGTTCTTCTTTTACTAGTGCCAGATGACTTTTAAAGTTTGAGTTTTGTGCTTAACAAAGCATCGATTGTATGACAGATTTCTGACCCTGAGATGGAAGAGGATTATCAGACACTACTGAGTGCTTATGAAAGTCAGAAGAGCAAACTAACAGAGACGAGAAAGGCACTGGAGGAGGTTAATAGGGAAAATATGCTCAAAACTAAGGAGTGCCAAGAAGCATGGAAAACTTTAGAGGACCTTCAGAATGAGTTGATGAGGAAGTCTATGCATGTTGGGTCCTTAGGTACGGAAAGCTGAGTTTCTTCTATCTGTACAGCACTTAAATATCATAATATCTAGGACTCTGCTGAGCTTTTACTTCTTCCAGCATTTGCTGTGGAGGGGCAAGTCAAAGAGAAGAGTAAGTGGTTCTCAGCACTCAAAGACTTGACAAGAAAATTACAGGTACTTCAGTTGTCAATTCTGGTCTTTTGTCCTGGCTTGTGGAGAAGCCATTTCAACATTCTATGCTTCATGGTGACAGATTATGAAAGGGGATCAAATCAAGCTATCAGAAGAAGCAAGGTCATATAAAGCATGCATGGTTGACATGAATGGAATGATGTCCATCATTCAGTCCACAAGTACAACAAGTCAATTTGCTCATGAGTTCTCGTTCATATGGCTGCTATACTCATACTTGCAGGGTTTTGGTAATCAAGTTTTATAGTTCTCTTTTGTTATATTTGTACCAGTGAAACACCAAGTACATGTGCATGGAGATCTTATGAAGAAATTCGTGGAAGGAGCAAAGGAACGGAAGGAACTCTACAATAAGGTGTTAGAATTAAAAGGTTAGATGCATGTTTACTTCAACAACTATAGCACATTAGAGGTCGGGAATCTGTAGATAATGACTGAATTTCTTATGATCACTTGCAGGAAATATAAGGGTCTTCTGCAGATGTAGGCCTTTGAATAGTGAAGAGGTGGCTGCAGGAGCTTCAATGGCTATTGACTTTGAATCAGCTAGAGAAGGAGAGCTTACTGTTTTCTCAAACGGGATTCCTAGAAGGACCTTCAAGTTTGACTCTGTTTTCAGCCCCCAAGCAAACCAAGGTAACAATTTGGACTTTAAATGAGAGGAGGTATGTTTCTAGTATTTATCTTGATTCATTTTTAATCCCTTTGCGGCTTGTTTGCTCTTTTTAGCTGACGTCTTTGAAGACACTGCTGCATTTGCAACCTCAGTGTTGGATGGTTACAACGTCTGCATATTTGCTTATGGGCAGACTGGAACTGGGAAAACTTTTACTATGGAAGGCACAAAAGAGGCTCGTGGAGTGAATTATAGGACTTTAGAGGAATTGTTTCACATAATTAAGGAGCGAGAGAAGCTTTTCAGGTACGAAGTGTCAGTTAGCGTCCTAGAAGTATACAATGAACAAATACGAGACTTGCTGGTCTCAAGCTCACAGCCAACAGCAACCTCAAAAAGGTACTCTGAACTTGCCTGCACGCTGCTTCTCTCTTTCTATTATTGAAGCACTAGAGCAACAAGACCAAGAAAGTGTCGATCTTCCCATTTGATCCATTTACTTTTGTGGTTATAATTCTTTTGCACGAGAAATGGTTTAAATATTCTTTGAGCTGATCTTCTTAACATTTGCCACTGATGATGCTTCTTAGGCTAGAAATAAGGCAAGCAGTTGAAGGACAGCATTGTGTTCAAGGTCTAGTTGAAGCCCGTGTCAACAATGTACATGAAGCATGGGATGTTCTACAGACCGGCAGCACTGCAAGGACTGTTGGTTCAACAAATGCCAATGATCACAGCAGCAGGTCTCATTGGTAAGTGATCAACCACAATATTGACCCTTGAGTTTGTTTTAGTTCTCATAGTAAAAAACGAGCATGGGATCTTGTTTTGGATTATGAAAGATTGTTTCTTGATACACAGCCTACACTGTGTGATGGTGAAGGGGGAGAACTTATTGAACAATGAATGCACAAGGAGCAGGTTGTGGTTGGTTGACCTGGCTGGAAGCGAACGAGTGGCGAAGACAGAAGTGCAAGGAGAGAGACTGAAAGAAACACAGAGTATCAATAGATCATTGGCTGCATTAGGGGATGTCATATTTTCTCTTGCAAATAAAAGCGCCCACACACCCTTCAGGTCCACGAAGTTCATGCTAATTTCGGTCTCTGAACTTTGCTTTATCCGAAACCAATCCCCAAACTTGGGGTAATAAAACCAGAATTTCTCAGCATTGTTTTCATTCTGCGCAGGAACTCAAAGCTCACACACTTGCTTCAAGATTCCTTAGGTAGCCCCTCTATCTCGAGGGAAAGACAGAAAGCATAGTTTTTTAATTCTATATGTAGCTAACCATGGAATTAGCATCTGATGAGAGGCTTTCTTCTCTTTTTGCTAGGGGGAGATTCAAAGACTCTAATGTTTGTACAGATAAGTCCAAACGAAAGTGACCTGAGTGAAACGTTATGCTCCTTAAACTTTGCAAGCAGGGTTAGGGGAGTAGAGTTGGGCCCTGCAAAGAGACAACTGGACACTTCTGAACTTGTCAAATATAAGCAGATGGTGAGAATGTTCCTTACCATATGAATGTCTCCTTCTTTGTTCTGCAGTCCTGATTGACTGACTGGCTGATGGCTGCTCTCTTTATGGAAGGCTGAGAAAACAAAGCAAGACCTGAAGAGCAAAGATGTGCAGATAAGAAAGTTGGACGAAACGGTCCAAGGATTGGAGCTGAAGGTCAAAGAAAAGGACGTCAAAAACAGGCATTTGCAAGAAAAGGTAACAGCAATAGAAAACCAAACACAAAGTTCTTTAGGACTGGAATTGTGGGTTAATATAAAAGGCCGCTGATCACTGCACTAGGAGATAACTGAAAACTTGTCACTGAAATTAGGAATAACTAACATAATAGTTGTTTCATATATCTTTATCATGCCCTATTCGGATTGTACATGTCATCGTATCAATTCTCCTAAGTTAGTTGTAAAAACTAAAAAGATAGTATAGACCCTCTTATTAGTTATAAGGGAGGAAAGGATTAGAATGATTCCAGGAAATTAGATTTAGAAGGGTCAAGTGCCAAGTTGGGTTTGGAATGAGTATGACTTGAATTTGATTGGTACATTGTCCATGCAGCTGATAGCTTTCCATTTTTGTTATTAGTATAGTTGAGTTGTCACGATAACGAAAAACCTGATATAATGGACGAAGTGACTAACATGTTAGTTATCCTAAACTCACATGAAAAGTTTGTTAGAAATCCATGTTTAGTGACTGCTAACAAAGTTCGGTGACTCATTTCTGAATTGACGCCCTGAATTTATGGTGGTTCGTGGTTATCACTTGTTCCGCACTACTAACTTTTGCAGATAAAAGAGCTTGAGTCCCAACTGCTCGTTGAAAGGAAGCTCGCCCGTCAGCATGTAGACACCAAGATAGCCGAGCAGCATCAGCACCAACAACTAAAACAACCCGATGAATTACTCAGCAGTACTGCACCACCAGCCCCAAGGCCACCATTGGCGACCCGGCTATTTTCAGACAACACTAGTAACAAGACCTCAAACGAGTCTGCAAACAATGCCCTCTCCAGCAAGGAAATGACATATGGAGGGATCATGGAGTTCGTCGACCCTACAGAGAAGGAGAACAACCCTGAGATGGCTGAGAATCTAGGAGGAGGGATGATGGTGATACCTAAACGAACAGGCAGGTTCTCAGTTTGCCCAATGGGACGGCCAATGATTCCTCTAACTCCAGCTCCACCTAGAAGAAACTCGCTGATTCCACCCCCGAGTCTACCTTTGTTACCAGCTCATCAAGTCAATGTAGATGCTGAACAGAGCCACTGTGATACTAGTCCTCCCAAAGAGTTGAAAACCGTGACCAAGAAGCAGAAGATGAGCAGCGTGATGAGAAGAAGCCTTGGCAAGAAAGTTTCGGCCAGGTCTCCAATGCGGCAGCAGATAGCGAGGAAAGGAGGGATCAATGTTGGCAATGAGAAGGTTAGATTGTCGATTGGGAGTCGAGGCAAGATGATGGCACAGAGGATGGTTGTGAATGGCAGTGGGAGAAGAGTTGTTGGAGGAATGAAGGATAACAAGGAGAAGGAAAGAGGGTGGAATGCTGCGAAAACTGGAAGGGCTGCAATCTAAAGAATTGTTGATATATGTTAGCAAGGACAGCTGATTATTCGGGCGAGGCTACGCGTTTGCTAAGAGAGCTTCTCTCACAGCACGTACTTGCAGAAATGCGCGCTATCTGTAGCCTCGACCCCCTGACTATTCATCATGAAGTGGAAGGTTTGTTTTGATTTTTCCTCCATTACCATGGATTAGTATTGTATTAAGGCTTTGGGATGAACACTGCTTTCTTAGAAGAACTCTATTGACAGTAGGGGGTGTTTAACTGTTTATTTGGACGTGTGATTGCTCAGAGTCCTTGCATATCATATGGTAGAAGGACCAGAGTGGGGTGCTATTGATGTTTTCAGGCCAATGATCAATTGGGCAGGATTCTTCTGTATCTATTTTTATCTTGATGGATGCAGTAACATTTCTAGTGTACATTAATGACAGTGTGTTTGATGTACTTATTTGACTATTTGGGTCTTTGTAAAGGCCAAGCTATCTTCTTTTGGCCAAAGGTTTTTGACAAGTTAGCCGAGTTATAATGTAGATTAGGTTACAAAACCTCCAAGATTTAGTTATCCCACTTAGATCACTACAAGGTCTTCGATGAAAAGAAGAAAAGGGCAAATCCAAAGGTTGTTTTTGTGATGGTAAGTAATGAGGGTTGGTACAATATTACTTCGACTTCAATTCCTGCAGACTAACATTTTGCGAGGGAAATGGTATCATTCTATGCTCATAGCGTAAATTTCCATAAAACTTAAAAAAGAAAAGAAAAACAGATTACACACCCACAACACATCTCTTCAACAAGCGATCATCCTTTTTTTCTTACTAGTCTTACCTTTTTCAATTTAGTCGAATTGGTAATAAATTATGATTATCACACAGAGACTTCACTGATCGATCCAACCTAACTTCATAGATTCGAAAATAGTGTCCACTAATAGGGATGACAATGGGTCGGGTCGGGGGCGGATAGTGCATATCCGTTACCCTACCCAAAGTACTTCGGGTTTTACCCATACCCATACCCACATGTGAAACGAGTAGAAAATCAAAATCATGTCCATACCCATTCGGGTTTCGGGTATCCACGGTTATCCATGGATATTAATTTATCTTCATAACTCAACCAATATGTTAACATTCACACGTATTCTTATATTAAGTAAGAGAAAAAGTACGACAAGAATTCACTAGAATAAAGAAAATTAACTAAAACAACACAATTTCATGAAAATGTTATATTTATATGCTAAATATAAAATATGTTAGAGAAAAATAATGATTATTTCTAGGCAAAATACATATGCATGTGTATAATCGGGCGGGTTCGGGTCGGATAGTGCGAAATTTATGCCCACCCATTACCCGCAATATTCGGGTGCGGGTTTTACCCGTACCCACTAAATGTCCTTCGGGTTCGGGTTTTACCCTACCCGACTAGGCCGGATTCGGGCGGATATCCACGGTTACGGATATTTTTGCCATCCCTATCCACTAAACTGTAGTTCTATATAAATAAATTTATTTTCTAGAGTATATTTACAGCAAAATACAACCTATATATGCACACTAATCATAATTAACAGGCATAAATTCTGAAACCCCCCATGGAACTAACTTACATGCAACGTGATACATCATTTTGTGATCATGTTCAGTGCATCTCGTTGGTGAACGAATCAATGATTAGACGTATAGTTGACCCTCAACTACATGCAAAACAGAAATATCATTACTAATGCTCCACTATGCATGCATTTGATGGAATCCGTAGTTTAGAATAATGGTTATTATTTTTAAGTGTTGGTTTAAAAATATATTGAATTCAAAATCATGGGATTGCAGGGCAACCACCAGACTTGTACCAGAACGAGGTCCCCAATCATATGCTCTAATCACATGGTTTTGTTTTTCTTTCCCTCTTGCATTATTATCTATCTCATAATGTGTTGTTGATCTCTGATTTCAATTGTTTAATCTCAATCATGCTGCCTCCGATGACCAATTTGTTAACCGTTGAGAGGGTTTGTCTCAGTCAAGAAGATTGGACTTGGTATGAAGTGGGGTTTCTGGTCCTATTCTAGACACGGTTTGCATAACGGTTTTGGAGTGTGGATCATATGGATCGTGTCAAAATTTAGGGTTGAAATTCTTTCCTTGGAAGATTAGAGAAGACTCGGGGCCTTGTCTTCAGCGCCTTCGTGGGGTTTAGGGGTTTCAGTCTAACATATTTGAACTTATAAGTATTCATTACATCGATGTATTGATTTTTGTGTTGTTGTCCTAGTAGTAGTACTCTAAGATAAATTTTCTCAACACTGAATGATGAACATTACGAATGACCGTAGATGTAGATGAAATGTGAAGATGTAGATGAAATGTGACCAGTCAAAGTACTGAGTCATGTGGAGTGTCTCAACATAATCTGGTTGTAGAACCACCTTCCTAAACTCGGACTCCAAAACTAGCGTGAGTTGAGACCTTGTAACATTCCCAATAGCTCAGTTCTATTAACGGTTCCACCTATAAGATTGATCTGGAAGGATTAGGGGTCATTTGGATGGATCAATCTAGAAATGAGTCAATTTGATCAATTGTCTCATTTTATAAACGAGTCAATTCGAATTATCTGCCCCACCTCAGGTAATTGAAATTGACTCAGAACGAATCAATTCAAAATACCTCAGGCAGATTGATCCATCCAATTTTTTTGCTGCCAAACATACAAAATTGGTCATCCTCCATTTTTGACCATAAAGAAAATCAACAAGACCTCCCCACATACAAAATTGAATCAATAAACTAAAGCCAAAACGGTAATGCTCCCTCCTACTCTTATTATAAGAACAACAATCCATTATTAGATTTGTGTATTATTATCTGAGCATTACTCTCCGACATTGCATTTAAGTCACGAACCCACTACTAATAATTTGACCTACAAAAACAAGATAATATAATAATAATCCATCGTAGGGTGGATTCCAGATCACTCCAAAAAACACTGAAACATGGGAAGCCACTGCATTGCATGAAAGAAGGATTTGTTAGGTGAGAAAAAAGTAATTGTTTGCGGCTGCTGTCCAAATTCAACTTCCATTTCAATTACTTCGCTCTTTTGTTTGTTTGTTTGTTTAGTGTCATCGTCATTAAATTCCCACGCATCTTTTCTGACCAACTAACCATTGGATTCTTCTTTCCTGATCTGATCCCAATTAATTACCTTACTCCGAATAACTTAATCACAGCTCAATTATTATTAATCTTGAATCCTTAATCAAATATTAACCCCCACCGTCCTTACTTAATGTCTTAAATATCCTTCTGTCATTTTATAAACCCAGCCACATTTCGTTTCTTCTTCTCATTCATTTCCTCCAATAATCCGCCATGGACGAAGCTCAAGATAATTACTACTACTACGACCACAGCAGCAACAATAATGGCCATAATCCTTCTTCGCCCTGTGACACCGACCTCGATTTCAGCTTCAACTCCACCGTCACCGATCGCACTTTCGCTTCCTCCAGCGCCCGCTCCAGTCTCGCTCGCTCCAGCCTAACCCTCAGCTTCAACGACCGCCTCTCCACCACCTCCTCCTCCGTCGCCGTAGCCGCCGCCACTTTCTCCTCCTACAACTCCTTCGACTCGCTCCACCACCGCAGATCCGACCCTCACTGGTCGGCTATTAGGACCGCCACGAACCTCTCCCCGGACGGCCGGCTCCACCTCAGCCACCTCAAGCTGCTCCGCCTCCTCGGCGCGGGGAATTTGGGGCGGGTCTTCCTCTGCAAAATTAGGGATTCCAGCGACGCCGCCTCCGCCCAATTCGCGCTCAAGGTCGTCGATCGAGACACTCTCAGCAAGAAGAAGCTCTCCCATGTGGAAACGGAGGCCAGGATCCTCTCCTTGCTAGACCACCCTTTCTTGCCTACGCTCTACGCTCGAATCGACGTTTCTCACTACACCTGTCTGTTAATCGATTACTGCTCCAACGGCGACCTCCACTCGTTGCTCCGGAAGCAGCCGGGGAACCGGCTGCCCCTCGCGGCGGCGAAGTTCTTCGCCGCGGAGGTGCTGGTGGCGCTCGAGTACCTCCACGCGCTCGGGATCGTTTACCGAGATCTGAAGCCGGAGAACATTTTGCTGAGGGAGGACGGCCACGTCATGCTTTCCGATTTCGATTTGTGCTTCGAGGCCGATGTGGACCCCACCTTCCGCTGTGATCGCGTGGGGCCCACGCGGCGGCGACGGAGGAGGAAGAGAAAGGAGGTGGTGGTGGAAGAGATGGCGGCGGAGTTCGTCGCCGAGCCGATTGCGGCGGTCTCGAGCTCGTGCGTGGGGACGCACGAGTACCTGTCGCCGGAGCTTCTCTCCGGTAACGGCCACGGCAACGGCGTCGACTGGTGGGCGTTCGGGGTGTTGATCTACGAGCTGCTGTACGGGACCACGCCGTTTAAAGGCGGGAGCAAGGAGAGCACGCTCCGGAACATCGCGTCGAGCAAGCAGGTCTCGTTTCCTCCGGCGGAAGGGATGGAAGAGGCGGAGGATTTGATCGGGAAACTTCTCGTGAAAGATCCGAGGAGAAGGCTGGGGTGCAGCAAAGGCGCGACGGATTTAAAGCGACACCGTTTCTTCGAGGGGATCAACTGGCCGTTGATACGGCACTACTCACCGCCGGAGCTTCGCGGGCTGGCGGTTAAGAGAGCCAATGGCAGTGGATCACGTGGCGGTCACGTGATGGCGGTTGCGCCGAAGAATAGGCGGAGTTGGAGCCTGAAGGGTCTGGTAGAGCACATGTTTAGGAGAAGGAAGAAGAGATACTCCAGGTTGAATTCTTCTTCTAATCACCATCATCAGGCCAATACTAATTGCAATTACTATCAGTACAAAGTTAGGGTGGCTTGATTACACAGTTGATGGATATGTTCAAATTACCTCCGACGACGAAGAGGATTAGTGTAATTATTGAGAACATTAGGATATGTGTTTAGCGATTTTGTCTTTCACTTTTAAATGGTAGTACGAGTGTAAGAATTAGTCGTGTAGCTTGACTCTTTGATTTTTATGTGCTTTTTGTTAGAATAATGTCGAGATACTTTGTGCACTTATACAAAAGAGAGAGATCATACAAAATGTAATACATATATGTTCTTTGTCAAATGTCTTTTCTTTTCTTGTATTGAAATTTGAGTTTCAAATCTAAAACTTCTAAATTAAAATTTAGTGATAATATCACTATCCTTAAAACCTGGAGATCTCAAATTAGAATCCCTTCACGAGTACCCAATTACAAAAACTAACCTATAGGCTATATCCCCTTATCTATATATAAATAAATAAATTAGTGATAGCAATATCTTGTTTGGAAAGGATAAGAAATTTTGAGGAGGTGAGCTAGGGTTGGGCCTGTGGCTGGATCGGGCCCAGGACTAGGAAAAGGAAATGATTAAGGCCCAGTTGACAGCGGTGGGTTGGCGGGAATAAAAAGGCGGGCCCAGATTTTACGGAGGAAGAAGAAGAGAGAGGAAAGGAGGAGCGACTGTAGACCTGATATTTCCAGCGGGGGACTCAACTGCCACGTCCGTCGTCGCTGACCATTTCCGTTGTGACTGTCGCTAGTGCGGTACTGTTATCGCCGCCGTCCCCGATAATCGCCGAAGTCTCAGGTATGCCGGTTTCTTTCAGTTCAAGAATGGCCTCTCGCTCGATGGTGCTGAGTTGAGCCTTCTTCGTTGTATTGATATGCTTTTTTCTTCCGTCGGTAGGCAGAGTGAAAATTTTTCAAGCTCTGGAATAACAATGGGCGACGGTACCATCAGAATCGAGGACTACATTTCGCTCAACGAGTTCAGGGCGGAAATCGATGTGGAAAGTAAAGAGAAAGGCGAAGCAGAAAGGAACTTTTCTCTATGTTTTTGGCTGTATATCGTGAAGAACTCAATCCCGGCTGGTTCGTCTCCGGCTCCGATAATCTATCAGGTATGACAATCTCTACTTCTAACACTTCGATTAGCTTTTTCTAGTAAGTTAGGGATAATTGCTACTGCATTTTGAGGATTTTGATCGTTTCGGAATCAGTTTAGGTTTTAACCTAGTCAATTTTTTATTAAGGTGAATAAAAGCTTGTGATTCTCTAATGTAGGTTGGTTCACATGATGGGAGTGTGGCCCCTTTTCTTATCCTGAACGAAAGGAAGATAATGATGTTACTACCACTGTGTCTTTTACCAACGAAAAACTGTCCTTCCGGTTCTGATTCTGTTTCATCGCTTGAGACGCCTCATGCACCAATGGTAGATGACTTTCCATTAGAGAAGTGGATTCATGTTGGATGTGAGGTATGTTGACAATTTCAGATAAGGTATGTCTTGTCAAGCTCACAGCAAAGGTGCTTATATTAGATATGCCAAAATTTGTTGCTTTCAGGTTACTGCTAATGCTATGCGTCTTCATATAAATGGGGAAGTTCTCGTGGAGCTCCCTTTGCCATTGCCATCCAAGGAACAATGTGCTTCTGACGGTATGAAGAAGATAATGTTGGCTGGTCCTAATGGAGATGGTGGTTTGCAAGGTTATGTGTACAATGTGCATGTCTCGAACTTGAGTTCATCCATTAGGGACTGCTATTTTAAGGTCCTTATTGATCGTGCTAATTATATATCTGTAAAATTCGTTATTCCTGCAAATTGATATTATCTTACATAGAGCATGTGTCTGGGAGTGTATGCAGGATCCACCTCTTCAGTTATCTATTGATAACTCATCTACCATCGAGATTGAAGAAGATAATGATGGTGTCTGGAGTATTGTCAGTGGGAAGGTTAGTTGTGCTGCTGTCAGTCGCTCTTGTAAATCTATCCTGCTATTGATTTTTGCATTTGCGAGGATGTGTTTGTTCAAACTTGTTAATTCAGGGTTTTTATGTCATGTCCATGTTTAATTATGCAGGCTTCTTGTCGCAGGATCTTTTGTTTGGATGTTGTTCTGTTAAATGCAATTAACCAGTCAATTAACAAGGAAACAGAGGTAACTGCATCTGGCTGCTCCTTTTGCACTTCATCATATCTTTTGTTCAGCAGATTGTCTTACTGTCTTTTTCTGCCATTATATTTGCCACATTCGTTTATTAAAGGTTACTGCTTCACTATTATATGCTGATAATGGGCGACCTGTGGAGAAGACATCCGATGATGAACCTCCTCTTTTGGCAAGTTATGAGGGCTTCGAATTTCCTTCTTGTGATAGACCAAGTAAACTAATGAATGGTCGAACCTCATTCAAGCTCAAAATTTCTCAGGTGGTAAATTGTATCTCCTTGTTACTTTCTCATTCTAATAAAAGTTACTGATAGCCAATTTGTAATATAGTCATCCCTCCCTTGGTTGCCACTCATCATGAACCTACTCACTGTTTTTGTTTAACTTATGGGCTTTCTTTTCCTGGAGATTATCATGAACTCTGTATTATACCTTGTGGTTTTTGTACCATTCTGCAAGTCTCCATTTTGCTAAACAACAGTTTTAGGATTGTGTTTTCATTTAAAAAATCTTACCATACTTAGGCCTTGTGGTTTCTAGCATATCCCAATGCTTGGTGTCTTACCATACTTAGGCCTAGTTTCTGGCCATATGTATGTCTATAGTGTTGGAAAATCCCTTTCTAATGTAAAGCTGTAATCTATGGTTATTCCCTTGGCAAAAAGTAAAGAAATTTCTTCAGTTTTGTTGCACATACTATTTTCACTTGCTTTAATTTCCCGCTCATCATCTATGGTCCTTTACAATTGAAATTTCGTGCAACACGATTGGTGATTTCCCCCGTCTTTCTACGATAGAATTTATTCAGAATCATATCCTCTTCCAAATTGTTTCAGCTCTCGTCCAAGTGTGAAAATAGGCTGTTTCTCATCAAGTTTGAGCTATCAAATTACAAGGGGTATCATTTTCTCGAGGCATTTTCTCATCCTATTCGTTGCATATCGCGTGGCCGGAATCCTCGTACATCATCTGTCATATTGAAAAGACCGACTTCTGTTCAATATTCCTTGAGTGGGTGCCAATCATTTGCATCAGACAGTGGATCTCCTGAATTGCAGCACAGCTCTATTCAGGTTACCCCGTCTTCAAAGCGATTTAAATTGGTTCAGGGGCAGGCATCTCCAGCGGGGCAATTGGAAGATGATTGTCATTCTCAAGCTTTGGCTAGTAAGGAACTTGAGGAAGCAGGGAACTCATCATCTTCTTCAGAGAGCACAGAAGAAAAAATGTCGAGTTTCAATACTGTGTCAAGGAATCGATATTCCATCCCAGATTCTATGATTTTCAGGTACTGCCTTGGAAGCTTAACTGATTGTGCCCTACTGCTGAAGGAGGTCTCAACCGCAGCCTCTGATGAAGAGCTTTCGAGATTTGCAGATGAGGTCTGTCTTTACTCAGGATGTGCCCATCACAGGTAACATATGGTGCTTCTGCTTACTGTAGACTGTCCTTGGAAAGAAACACTCATTTAGACTTTTTTTTTCCATTTCCTATCACCTCACTGCAAAATTACAGCAAGCGTCAAGATTGTCTTTTGTGTCCATGACTCGATTTGGAGCATGAAATTCTTGGTTGCATGTTTGCCTCCAGCTGTAAGCTAACACCAGCGTCTACAATGGTCGAAAAGATTCAGAAAACATTTATACTTCCCTTTTTTATTTCAACTTTTTTATCCTCTGGGGGATTTTAAACCACGCACCTTTCTTTCGTTCTTTCCAAGTTGCAATCTGTCATTTATTCAAGTTCATGTTAATGCTATTCACTTAACTACCCTTTTCATCCTTCAGGAATCAAATAATTATGGGCAGGAGGTTAATAGAGGAAGGGACAAGAGTATGGAACTCAATCACTCAACACAGCCATCTTGCCCAGTGGGAGAATATCACTTTTGATATTGAAGAGCGATTCATGAAGATTGCATCGTGCAGTACTAGATCTCTCACTGAACAGGTTTGTTCTTTCTTGCTTGCATATGGAATAAAGCAAATAGATAGCTGTTTGTGCATTGAGTATCGATAGTGAGTTGAAACCTTAGGTTATTCAGATGGTGGATTTGAAAAGTGATGGTTGATCTAATACTATTGATAACTTTTATAGGACTACGATATACTCAGGAAAATCTCCGGATGCCAAGAGCACTTTGCTCAAGAAAACTTTGAGAAGATGTGGTGCTGGCTATTCCCTATTGCTTGTACACTATCCAGAAGCTGGGTAAACTCATTGTGGAAGTCCACATCGCCCAAGTGGATCGAAGGATTTATCACCAAGGAAGAAGTGGAATTTTCACTTCGAGGTGCTGAGCCTGGCACGTTTCTACTACGGTTTCCTATTTCAAGGAGCTGGCCTCATCCTGATGCTGGTAGCTTGGTGGTGTCATATGTTGGAAGCGATTACTTGATTCATCACCGGCAGCTTTCATCTGAGTACATCAACAGGTGCGTAATACTTCCTAATTTTTTTAGTGCAATGAGCTATTGAACGGTGGTTAGGAAACTGTTAATAGTTAAACTGGAGTTTGGAGGGTCATGGTGGTAGTAATCAGTCTGTTGGAGCTCTATGGAGATTTATTGTTTAGATTTAAAGTTGGTGAAGGTTAGCTTTAGCACCTCTATTGCTACATAAATGGTCACTAACGAAGTGGTCATTGAAAAACTTGTAACAAAACAATTATTTTGTCCATCATCGTCAATTTTTTTTGTATTGATGTTCAATTTCTTGATGGCTTTTACTGCTTCTCTTTTCCCTGGTTCTATATATTCTTGCTGCTAGAGGTGTGTTAATGATATGAAAATCAGTTAAGTTTTGGCTGATGGCGGCAGCTGTGATGACAAAACTCTCACTTCTCGATACTGATCCGGTTGTAAACTACCGGGGCTTTTCTTTGGGTATGGACCGTACCTTGAGAAGCCAATTCCTGATGACTGTGTTTATGCGTGTCTGAGCTTGCCTGCCTTCAAATATTCCCCCCCTTTTTTTCTCATTGCTTGTACTCATGCCTTCGATAAATCTGTTGTTTACGCATTTCTGCCTTCTCCCGTATATGTTAGAGACAAATAGTTAGTGATACATGAGCAAGTACTAGTAGTAATAGCTTGGACATTCGGAAGGGCTGCCTGAAAGTAGCTAGATTCTTTGAAGACCATTGTTGTGCAATGCAATATTTTGAAGTCATGTTCTTTTTTTCATTGGAGTTTCACTTGGTTCCATCAACTTATATGCATTGGTCTTCGCTCAAAGCTTGTATCTGTTTCTGTCTAGCTTTGGGGAAGGGCAAGTAGACGTGAAGCAAGTGCAGGAGATGCTATTCGCAGAGCCAGAACTGAGTCGATTGGGAAGGCAGGTTTTTCTTGTTCCTTTCGATTCAATATTCTGGAGGCCGCATGGTGGGTGTTATATATTGAGCTTTGTAACTGTTGATTCTAATTCCGTTGACATTCACACTTGTGCAGGATCGTACGAAGTTAGAAGAAAATGCTGGTCTTTCGACGGCCCTTTTAGTTCTCTTGTAGATATAACTAACTAAGCTAACTATGCCGGTAACCTCATTAGTCGTCACCTGTTTCTTATCTTCTTCTTAGGGTCAGCGATAAATCAGATACAGAAGGTTTTTCAGATAGATGTATTAACCAAAGTTGAATGTATTTTGACTATTTTCCAATCAAGATAGGTAGTAAAATGTTGGATTTATGGTTCATTGAGCCAAAATAAGGCTACAGTTCATGGATTCGGCCTGAGGCTATTACTCAACGATGATTAAGTCCATTAAGTGCCGATTTGGGGGAATTTATTCCGGGCCCATTTTTGGCAGATTCCAAAGGGGTACCATCACAGATTTCGGGCAATTTTTCCGAAATGCCATTTTCTTTCGATTCTGGAGGCTGCGGATCACGAAATCAGGCCGAGCCTATATCCACCGATAATGAAGTCTATTGATACTATTCTCCACGGATGATAAGTCAATTAAGCACCGATTTGGGCCAATTTATTTTCGGATGGCATTTTCGTAATTTTTTTTGTCGACGAAAGGCCATTTTCTTTGGATTTTGAAGGCTACAGATCGCGGATTCGGCCTGAGGCTATTCTTCAACGATGATTAAGTCCATTAAGTGCCTATTTGGGCGAATTTATTCCGGGCCCATTTTTGGCAGATTCCAAAAGGGTACCATCACAGATTTCGGGCAATTTTTCCGAAATGCCATTTTCTTTCGATCCTGGAGGCTGCATATCACGAAATCAGGCCGAGCCTATATCCACCGATAATGAAGTCTATTGATACTATTCTCCACGGATGATAAGTCCATTAAGCACCGATTTGGGCCAATTTATTTTCGGATGGCATTTTCGTAATTTTTTTGGCGACGAAAGGCCATTTTCTTTGGATTTTGAAGGCTACAGATCGCGGATTTGGCCTGAGGCTATTCTTCAACGATGATTAAGTCCATTAAGTGCCTATTTGAGCGAATTTATTCTGGGCCCATTTTTGGCAGATTCCAAAAGGGTACCATCACAGATTTCGGGCAATTTTTCGGAAATGCCATTTTCTTTCGATCCTGGAGGCTGCATATCACGAAATCACGCCGAGCCTATATCCACCGATAATGAAGTCTATTGATACTATTCTCCACGGATGATAAGTCCATTAAG